ACAGGTACCAGGATCACGGCTGGGGAACTTACTTGGAAGTCCTAATATGTGTGTATGATTATGATTGTATGATCTCTTTTTTTTCCCCATGAATAAACAAACACTGTTAAGTTGTCTTGATTGATATTGTGAAGCAGCTTTGATACAATCTGTATTGTGAAAAGCGCTATATAAATATATTTGACTTGACTTGACTTGATTAATATGTGTGTATGATTAATATGTGATATGATTTGCCTATGGACTGTCACTGCCCGGACGTTCTCTGTGCCAAAAACCGACAAATGCTCAGAAAATGATGGACATTGCAGGTAAAGTGATTTGCTATCCACGTCATGATGGACTTGAAAAAGTTGTCCTGCAATTCGGACACCTTGCTGGACAATGGATGGACGCCACATTCGTATCAAGCCTCCAAATCGTAACAAAGAAGACTATTTTAATTACAAACAGTTCTATTTTATCCAAATGCAAACCAACTGTGACTCTCAGGGACGATTCTTTAACATCTTTGTGGTTTTCCTGGCTCTGTTCATGATACTAGTGTTCTAAAAACAGCCCACTTTATGACAATGCTGAGTACCCCCCACCCGGCTTTTTCCTTCTTGGTGATGGGGATATCCCTGCATACAGTCCCCCATTACCATCATCACACCCTACAAACAGCCAAGGACGGGTCGAGGAACGCTTCAATCACAGCCATTCACGTTGGTATGATGAAGGCACGCTGGAAGGCAACACTCTTGCTAATATTCTGTTTATAGTCTATATTTTAAATCTATGTGGCATCAATCATTTTCAAAATCATTTTGTTCAAGGCTGGCAGTGTCTGGCTGGTGTGGTTTTGGACTGCCTGCCTGTCACGGTGTAAATGGCAGATGGTTTTGTGAAGTGTATTGATATCCTTAGCTTGATAAAGTGTCTAATTTTAGTAGAGCTGTTGCTGGACCTGGTTTAACTGCAGCTTTGAAAAACTAATGTCAAACAGTCTAAACCAGCTTTTTCAGAATTTGTATTGCTTTCATATTGTTGTCTGAGTGCATTCTTTTAGTATGACAAATTGTCACTGATTCCCGGTACATAATTGTTGAAACTCATGGTTATGGTAAGGGGTTTGACCAGGTGTGTGAGGGGGTTGCTATAGGAAGTAGTATAGTAACGAACGCAACTTTCACACCCATCTGATCGACAAATAAAAAAAGTGGTTTGACCTATTTCAGATGCGGAAATTAGAATTTAAAAAGGACTGAGCAAAGCTATATAGAGCTTACCATGTGATGCCGTCCTCACTGACACGCATTGGCTATACGCAAGAACTCCCATGCTCATGAGAATTATAAGATCTACTGCATAATAATATAATACTGTAATAATAAAATAATACTGTATAATAATAATAGAGCAGCCTAAAAATGTCACTAACGTGAAATTATTCTTTCTTTTTAATTCTTTTCCTTTTCTCACCACCCGACTCATGTCTACAAAATCATTCGCACATTTTTTTCTCTTCCTTACATGAGCAGTTATCTAGAGCAAACACACAGTGGAGCGAGTGCACAGAACATAATATCGAAATTCGAAAAATAATAATAATAATTGGCAAAACGTTTCGTGTGGCCTTGATTATGCATAATAGTAGCTAATAAAAGATTTGACAAGCTAGCCTATATAAAGGGCCTGTAGAGGGCGATGCCCTGTGCTTTTGGTCCAACGCTATCTCACGACCAATTCGTACGAATTCATACGAGTGATTAAAAGGTGACTTTACTCGTACGAATTTATACGATTTGTCTAAACCCACGTGATGGGTAGGTATAGGGGCGGGGTTGGGGGTAGGTCATTCGTACGGATTGGCCAACTCGTAAAACATGTACGATTTAGCAAAAATCGAGTGAGGTCGTACGAATTGTTACGAATTAGCCACCTCGTAGAATTCAAACGAAATGCCGTGAGACCGGGAAATTTTCCCAAACATTTCTCATTTCCATCTAAGCGCTTGACCAATCACAACACACTGGTCCCCCGACCAATCAGAGTGCATTGTGCTTTTCAGAAGGAGGGGCTTTTATAGAGACGGGAGCAAAACAGAGCGTTACTGACAGACTGGGAAAAGAGGAGCCGCAACAATGGAGAATTTGGGGAAAATAATCAACATTCAAGCACATTCAGCTGTTCTAGAAGAGCCCAAATACATCATCTTGACTTTGTAAAAGGGATTTATATGCCTCTTAAAATTAAGGTTCCCTTTCAAGGATGATTGACACTGTGTGAACGCTCTGCGGGATTGCGTTGTGAAGCACGAGTGAAATCAGTCCAATGGTGTGACAGATGTCAGAGGTGGGTGCCGTCAGTGTAACACTAGCTTCTGTGTCTTGTTATCTGATTATTGGTTAATTTGTCCCACCTGTCTTTCTCGTTTCCTCGTTTATTTGTCCCCCTATTTAGTCTCCCTGTGTTTGCTGTCTTGTGCTGGTTCATTGTCAATGTTTCCTTGTGTTACCTGTTTTTGCCTGAGACCCCTCTTGGTTTCCCCCTCGGGGTTGTTTCGTTTATAGCTTTTATTATTATTTAATAAACATCATGTCATCCTGCTCTTATATCCTCGACTCATTTCTGACAATTCTATGACACTTTCTGTCACTCAAGCACTGCATTTTAGTGTTTATTCACGACTTTCGAGCATAACATTTTTAACATTCCTGTCCTTTTCTCATTCAAGCACTCTAGTCAATTCACGTAAAAATGACGTTAAGTTGCAAATTTGTTACGCGGTAATCTCTAACAATAGAAATTTAGGCCTATCGTCACCACAAAATATTTAATATAGTGCTATATTTTATCAACATATGTGTGCAATTTATAGCCTATTTTCATTCATAACGCTTAAAGAAAATGTACTGCAATCAGATGAGAACCAGTCCCTGTGATGGTGTGGTTGAAGGAGGAAACCCCCAGTAACATATAGTGAGACAGACTGCACATGAGCGTTGCTGGGAAGTTAAACGTTCGAACTATGAAATAAAAATGTGAAGTTTTCTCAACTTAATTGTTTGTTCTTTGGACAAAATAGTAGTACACTTGCAGTTAAATAGTTTTTATAAGTAAACTCAACATTGCACTCAAATTTGCCCACTCAACTTAAAATTTTTGACAGAGTTAACAATTTGCAAGTTGGATTTTTTAGTGTTATCGTCTTGGGTTCTTCCATTTGGTCCAGCTTTATCACCCCGCACTTTTAACCAAATGCGTGGATACAGCACAAACAATAGCATGTACAAGGCAGACGCATTCTGACCTACATTGACGAATGGTTGATTTAAGCTCAGTCGCATCAGTTAGCATCAAGATGTCGTTCTCGCACACATTGAGGTTGAATGATTAAAGGAATGTACTTTCTCCAGTTCAGAGAACCACTTTTCTATAGGTGTGGAATGAGGTTCGATGATGCAAGCACGTCTCTCTCCGGCACACATCGAGTCGATCCTGTCAACAGCAAACTGATTAAAGCTAGGCTAGTCACTCACTGTCAATCAGTTTCAAGGCTGTTGGGTCTGATGGCATCAGCACATTTTTTTTTATCCTGAACTTGGTTTAAAAAATATGCTTGGTTTAACTTAAAAAAGTAAGTAACCTGGTTGCCTTAAAATTTTAAGTTCATTGAAATGGAAAAATTGAGTTAATAGAATGAAGGAGATTGATTTAATCATCATAAGCTCAAAACGGCGACTCTTGTCCTGCCACATACTTGCAAAATGCTTCATTTCCAATCATCATGGCCAAAAAGAGCAAATGGGTCCATTGACTTCCTTTTGTGTGTGCTAAAATGTACAAAATGCAAGTGCTATTTCTTGCAGTTTTTTTTGTTGTTAAATGGTTCAATTGTGTTCATTTATACTTGACAACAGGAAATATTCTAAATTTGTTCAACATAATGGTGATTCTGATATATACACTGAGAAAATGTTAATTTCAATTCTGTGGGTATTAAATTGTCTTTTTCAATTTGCAGTGTAGAAATACTAAGAAAAGAATCGGCTACAAACTAGAATTCAGGGGCCAGTGGCATAACTCGGCTGATCTAGTATGATCCACTAACAGTTAGTCAAGGGACGGTCAGTTTCTTTTCAGTCTCAAATGGGCTATATGCACGCATAAGTTAGTAAGTTAGATGTAATTTTATATATAGTTATGTTTATTTAATATAATTTTAAAAAGAAGCATAAACACAACGAGGGGTGTCTGTTTTATCTGTTTTTGTGACTAACGTTTCATTAGTATAACCATGGAGTATAAAATTCAATATAAATTTTCGGTATGGGCTATATGCACGCATAAGTTCCGCATTTGACGTAAGGATGCTCGTCCATTTCCGGTTGTGTAGATTAAAGCGGAGGAAAACCGGAGAAAACGGGATTATGGCAGAGTCTTCAATATTTACTGTCCTCCCGTCTTTGAAACGAAACGTACATACGTTTAGATGTAATTTTATATATAGTTATGTTTATTTAATATAAATTTAAAAAGAAGCATAAACACAACGAGGGGTGTCTGTTTTTATCTGTTTTTGTGACTAACGTTTCATTATAACCATGGAGTATAAAATTCAATATAAATTCTCGGTATTGCATTGGACTCTATGATCGGCGGAAGTTATCGAGCATCCTTAATCCTTCACCGGAAATAACGCCGTGCATAGAGCCCATTAGGCCAATCTACGTTTTTATGAAACTAAAACTGAAAACAAATCGATGAGTAACTTAACTCAACCGCCCGACTTCTTTTAGTTGGATGCGGCAAGGCGATAGTTTTATTAAAAAATAAAAATGTACGCTAATAACGTTTAGGGGCGGGGCATTAGGAAGTATCCAAGCAACCCCCTGTTTTATGAACTAGCTTGCTGTTTTTCCAAGGAATAAGAAAGACTGAAAACACAATGAACTGAACTTATCAGGGCACCGACACGGACCTCCTAATAATTAGTACACATAATTCCCACATTAATGAAGATTATCGGAGTGAGTGTCCAGTGAGAAGACTTATTTAAATTATTTTGTAAGCGCTTGCACATTGGGTGTGACGGTGGACTGTCTCCCTCTCTCGCGCATACCCCGCATTCTTCCGAAACCCCGCCCCCTCCCCCGCTGACCGTTAGTCAGCCCGTGACCGAGGAGTCAGAGAGAGTTCCGCGAGTAACGGCAGGAGCGGCGGCCGGAGAATGGCGAAGCTCTGCGGGATCGTACTCTTCTTGGTACTGCTGTGTCTGGCGGTGAGCGTAAACATTTAAAAGTTGTTTCTAGTGTTCAAGCTGACCTGGATATAATCTTAAATCTGTTTATCCATAAAGTTTCGTTTGGATTGTTTTCTAAACACTCTATCGATAAGTTACTCTTTAATCAATATGTGCTAATAAGAGAATGTTTCATGTATGATTTAAGAGCGAACATGGGTATTTTCTGTTTATATTAACTTGTGTGTGTGGGTGGGTGGGTGTGTGTTTGTTCTCTCTGCTGGTCATCTTACACAGATGTGTGATAGTCTGAGAGGGGATATGAGTGTAATGAACTCTAAAAGAAATATAACGTTACCGTAGCCTATGTAGGCTGTATGTCACACTCATAATCTGTTTATGGAGACAGACATTATTATTGCTAGGTTAAACTATTGTGTTACCAGATTTCCAGAGAATAAGAGCATAATCTTACTCACTCAGGGTGGGAATTACCGAGTTTGAGGAAGTTCAAACAAAAGGTTGGCAGTCTTAAAATTTGGCCATTATTATTTTTTCTAATTGGGAGAATCTTGGCACTTTATGTCCAGATTATGGTAACCTATCTTTCAAAATTACACTGGGCTCATGGTATGGTATGTTTTTAAACACTAGGTGTAAACCACATTTTTTTCATGCCCTATTTTACTGTCATGAGAGTAAATATTGTTGAAAAAAAAAATCCACACTGGTATACAGGATTGTGAAAACAGCAGTTTTCCTGGTAACGGTAACTTACACAAAGCAGCTCATAAACACTGACTGCTTTATCAGGAAAGATAAAGAAACATTAAATGAACATAACACCAAAACTTTTCTCAAGACGGTCAGTTCACTTCAGATACATTCATAAAAAAAAAAAAAAAACGTGCTGGGTTTTGACTTTGAAATGGGCAGTGCTCAAGTTCAACGTTGTCCTTGCCAATCACATAGATTTTCCAAAAGGCGGTATTGATATTGTGAACTAATGTATGGAAAACACTGTATAATTTGACACCTATCGGTTATAGTTTAACCTACTAATACAGTTTAACATACTACTTAGGAACACGTACAGCTGTGCAATCGCTTTAGTTCCTGGTTACAATACAAATCAGACAAAACTACGTAATAAAAGAACATTAATGTCTTTTAACTTAGAATATGTATCATATACTATAACCAAATTAAACATTTTTCGTTCTTAGTGTTTTTTGTTTACTTACATATTAGCATTGGATACAGCTATGAAAAATGTATGTGCCTAGGTTATTGCTTAATAACAATTAACATGTTGCAAAACATACTTAAAAATGCAATTTCTTTCACTTTAACTGTATAAATAATCAGGGTAGTTGTGATTTCATTTCCATCAGTCCAAACAATGTTGCCTCAATGTAGCCTGAGCAGAATATTTTGTATTGTGCATCATGTCCATTCGAGCTGTAATACTGTCAAAGTGTGAATTAAAGTGTAAAAGTATTATTTAATTGCATATATTTTTGATTCTTACATTTGTTTTACTCCTAAAAGCTTATCCAGTGTAGTTAATCGCATTATTTGGGTAAAACAGGCACTGATGTGCTTTTGTGTTTGTGTAGTTACTGAACACTTCAGCATCTGGAGGACAGCCGAAGAAAATCAGACAGAAGAGAGAATGGATTATCCCACCCCAAAAACTGATGGAAAATAAGGACTATACGGGTTGGGAATACATCGCCAAAGTAAGATCGTCATTGTTTTTTGTTGTTTTCTACAGTGTTATTTTTTTTTGGGGGGGGGGGGGGATAAAACCTAGTGAAAAAGAAATATACTTAAATGTATTTGAAATGCATTTATTTATGCTAAATACTACAAATACAATAAATACTTAATATAAATACCCTGCAATTGTACTGTTGGTATACTAAATTGGTATTCTGAAAGTATAAATTGAAACAAGTAATTTTGTACTCAATGCACTTTAGTTATCCAGAAATAGTACTGAGGTCCAACTAAAGATACACTTAAGTTTATTTTATTGTGCTAAAGTTGAACTATTGGTATTATACTTAGGTACACTTTAAATATCTTGCATTTAGCGATATTAAATATTTAACACTTAGTTTTTTTTTAATTGCTTACAATCTCTGAAACCATGGCTCAGAGGTGAGACCAAGTCATTGTTTTGCAAGTCACAAGTCCCGAGTCAAGACAGACAAGTCCAAGTCAAGTTGCAAGTCCCTGAGTTTAAGCTTCAAGTCTTAAACAAGTCATTAATGCTTTTTGCACAAATTACTGTCTCAGTGTTAATTACTATAGTAAATTAAATGTATACTAATTTATATCAGAAAGGCTTTTAAAATATGATATAATATAATAATATATAATATTATCATATTTATTCAAACTTAGTGGATGTTGATTGGTTGGTTGTCTGATTGGCAATGCAGATTTAAAAAAAAAAAAATATAAAAGTAACTGTTCATTGGGAAAATTTAATCGTGATTTGCTACACATTAAGTTTAAATTAAAATATTGAGTCCCTGATTTAATTATTTTGTTAACGCGACAGTAATTTTACTAGAACATTCCTATTTCCATGGCAACGTATCAAGCATCACGTGACACATTTTGGGGCCACGTGCCTGTCATTTACAAAACGTAACGTAAATCCATCCATTTCTCCCGAAAGACATGAAAGTGAGTGGCTGGTGAACAGGGAGAAGACTTTATAGTTACCTAAAGGCTAAAATGTGCGTGTGTTGTGGGGGAAAAATAACGTCTCAAAATTACATTTAAAAGGTTTATTATTTTCGCTTACTTAGACATCAGTGTTTTTTTTCTCAAATTATAAATGGTTCGCTAGTACTTGTGTATTTAAATGCCTGAAAAAGAAAAAAAGAAAACATTATTTGGTTGAAAACTGTCTGAACATGTGATAATAAATGACAACTGACATGTGCTGCTGAACGCACTCTGTCACTCGCTCTCTGGCTCAGTGCCAAACATGCGAAAGCAGCGCTAATCAGCGCTGAGATCATGCGTCACTAGGCGCGTTTCCATTACAGATTTGCGCAAATCTTTTGCGATATTTTCCAAATTTTCGATAAAAAACTATTGCGAAATGACAGTGTTTCGATTAACCGATGTTATGCGACTAAAACGTCTTATTTTTCCTGTCGCGATAAGTCATTCCAAAAATCATGGCAACGGACTTTGGTAGGTTTATAACCTATTTCACAGCCATGCACTGCACTAGACATTATTATCCAAGTATTAATATCCAAGTATTAATGACAGGGAAAGACACAGAGTTCCTGGTGTTTCTCCCTTATTTCTGCTTCGATGTCTTGATGGCATTTCTTTGAGGTTTAGAGAGGCTATTCCTGTAATTATTGTTTCTTTTTTTTTTTTAAATTAATTTAATAAAGAACTCTATCTCGTATTATGTCCAAACGGTCGTTGCAAAACGAAAAATGAACGGTTTTATATTTTTAAAACATAAAGTTGAACACCATCATTTTAGTTTGACCACACCAATGCTGCGCTAAATACATCTCAACAAAATTTCAGATATTTGTTTATGACTTTTTGCCCCCTTTAAAACATTTAAAATATTCACAAATTAATATGGGAAAAAATTTAGATATTACTGGTTTTCTAAGGCCAAATTAGAACATGGATATTTATGATATTATTTTTCCCGCAGTGATAGGCGAGTTATTATAAATACAGCTGAAAAAATAACGAGCTAAAAACATAATCTCCGGATGCACCTTTAGAGAGAACTGCACCTTTCATACGGATTACATAATCAGAAGGTATTAGTTTACTATTCGAAAACTAATCGCAAGTTTTACGATTGTCTGCCATCCAGTGCGTGCTCAAAACTCCGCACACACTCTTGGATATTGGTCAAAATCGAGTGTTTATTTGTGATAATCTTAGCCCTATTATTATTATTGTCCTACCTGTACTATGAATGAGATGTGACGAATTGCTTTGTTCCTTTTTTGGATAAAAGCGTCTTCTACATATGTAGCCTAATAAATGTTATAATAGGGTAATGATGATAATTATTATTATTATTTGCGGACACGGACCTAAAACACACTACGTCTTCTAAGTCAGGTGACTGTAAATGCGCAAAATCCGCTTCCATTGCAGTTTTGCGAAAAAATCCTTTTTCGAATTGCCTGAAAAACCTCCTTATGCGAGCGTAAAAACTTTCTTGCGATAAACGGAAGTTTTTGCGAAATTGACGTGTTTCCATTGACCGTATTTTCATTTAGCAATTTCAATTTGCGGAAATTGAAGGGTAATGGAAACGCAGCTAATGATACAGTGCTATACTACAGTCAGTGATTATTACAACTCTGGACTGTGGTTTTAGAAGGTAGGTCAAGTCTTTCCAAGTCACAGGGCTCAAGTCCGAGTCAAGTCTCGAGTCATTGTTGTCAAAGTCTAAGTCGAGTCGCAAGTCATCTTTGAATATGTCAAGTCGAGTCACAAGTCATCAAATTTGGGACTCCAGTCCAAGTCAAGTCCGAGTCATGCGACTCGAGTCCACAACCCTGCCATGGCTCTATTTATCTAAACTATTTCTTGAAACTTAACACACACACACACAACATGCAAAACATCAGACATATCTTGCAAAAGCAAACACTTAATTCAAAACTACTTCAAAACTTTCAAAAATTGTATTTTGCATAAATACTTTACACACAAACATGAAATTAAATGGTATTTTTGCATATTAACTCTACACACAAACATCAAATTAAATCCTATTTTTGTATGTTAACTCTACACACAAACATCAAATAAAATGGTATTTTTGCATAATAACTATACACACAACACAACAAATGATTAGCCACATAAACACAAATATTTTGTGTAAAAATGTTTTGCTTGTTCAGTGCGGAGTGAGTGTACAGGAGTTTGTCACACACACACATGTATATATATGTGCCAAAAATACACTATACATAGATTAATTTTAAACCTATGGAACTGAGCTACCGGTTGAACCAGAAGTTGACACTCAGACTGTTATCTGTTTGATAGACCATAAAGACAATGCCATCACACTTACCAACTATCAGCTTTCAGAAGAGAGCAACACTAATATTGGGAGTATGTGTTGCAGATTTGGCACATTTGTCAGTAAATGTCGATGCAGCAAAAGACACAAGTCTCGCCATGTATTTCAAATCTGAGAATATTTTTTTAGGTTATGTTGTCAGCAAAAGGCAAATTCTTAAGTTGCGGCATTATTTATAAAGATAACTTTATTGTAGCCTATTTGAAGCACACTATAATGATGTCGTTAGCACACTTCAAGTTTACTTGGAATGCCATAGAAATGTGTTTTAAAATCAGAAATCACTAAAAGTTTGTTATCAGTGTAATAGTAATGTGTAATCGAATTGCAATTGTAACTTCACCAAAATACATTTGAAGTTTATGTAGTGAATTCTACATTTCAAAACTTAAAAACAAGAGTATTTTTAAAGTGTACTGAATTATACTTGGAATACTTCCATTTTAGCACAAACAAGTATATAAAATACAACTAAATGCATTTAATAGAAAATTTAGTTGTTCCAATTTAACATACTTTATACCAATTTATAACATTCCACAAATAAATGTAATTATACTAAGTACATGCAAATAAATTGTGCTTAAGTACACCAGGGAACAATTCAGGGTTTTTTAATTAAATGAGAATCTCTCCACATCACAAAATAAGCACTTTTACAGATGCTCCTTGTTTTAAACTCACATTAAAGAATGACATGTATTTGATTTCAGATCCGTTCAGACGAGGAGACCAGGAACAGTATTCGATATTCACTGATTGGATCAGGGGCGAACCAGCCCCCCGTCCACCTGTTCCGTGTTAACAGTGAGAACGGCATGGTCAGCATACATGGAGTGTTAGACAGAGAGAAAACTCCCGTTTATTATGTAAGCAGCCCTTTCATCTTTCATGCACGACTGTAAACGTTTATTGCATGGGTGTTTGTCCTTCCCTGAGTAATCTATGAAAGTGTACTGATGACTCAGTCTGAAAGATAGCAGCTCGCAGCAACATTTCACAGGAGAGCTTTATTGTCATGAAGTGATGAATGTCATGCATTCTGTCTGAATGACTAGATTACTAAATGAGGTGTGGCTCATGCAAAAAAATACATATATATCTTGAATTTTCTTAGCCTTAGCACACGGTAAAGTATGTGTTATCACAAAGAAATCATGATACGTTAATAAGTTCAAAGTTAAGTTGAAATGAAACAAGAATAAATGTGGGGCTTGATTTTGTCCATGGGGAATAGATTGAATGGTTGTGGATCTCAGGTTGCCTGCAAGATGGAGGGGAAGATATTCTTATTAAAGACTAAATAAATATAAAAAAAAAACCCCAGCATACTTAGGGCTTAAGCTGTGAGTTAAATATGTCGATTAACACAGCTTACAAGAACATGGTCATCACTAGGCGACAAATGACTTGCTTATCATAGTGTAGCTAGCTAATGTGAAGGGATAGAGGGAGTGTGTGCTTGTGGATCAGAGTTCACACTCTTCAGCCGTGCAGATAAACAGCATAAATGAGAGGAGTTTTGATTGGGTTAACTGAAAAGGGAGGTTTTACGATACTCTGATATTTTAAGCACACCCTGTTTTATCCTCTCCATCAGGACTGTTTATCATTTCCCATTTGTGTTTATTTGAAGGGGTGTTTCATGTAATTCATATTGCATTGTTCTCATTGAATGCAGTTTTGGAGAACAAGCATATGTGTTATGGGAGAAGGATGACAGAGTAAGGGTGGGGAAATAGGAATGCCTGGCAATATGCAAGCATTTCTACTGAAAAGTGATGATAAAAATTAAGTTGTGAAATAGATGGTGAGAATATATCCAATTTCACAACCTAAGTAAGTTTGAACATGTTGAGATGTGTGGTCATCTGCTTGCTTCCAGCTTCGAGGGGTGGCAGAGTTTATGAATGGGAGTAAAGCCGAGAAGGATATTGAGTTAAGAATCGTGGTTCAGGACGAGAACGATTGTACTCCGGTGTTCAACGTGACAACTGGATCTGTTCCTGAGCTGAGCGGCAGAGGTACTGGGGTCATTCATGAAGTTCATGAAATTGCTTCACTCATTTGAAGTGAGACTAAATGAAGAGTTGCATTATATTAGATTCATGGCTAGTGGTCTAAGTTTCATTTAGAGGGGACGTGGGTTTAAAAAAACCAACCTAAATGTGCATGCAACATTACCATAACTCATAAATATGGCAGAAAAAGTCAAAAGACCAACGAAATAAAATATATACAGTATCAATGAATTGGCTTGGTGAATGAATTCTCAATTTCCATTCTCAAAAGCCACGCCCCCTAGTTATTGTTACTACACCCGTCAAACAAATGGTCAAACACGACGACCAGCACGACAGATTGCCATGATGGGAAGAGGTACTTGTGCGTGTCAGTGGCCTTTTTTGGAGCAATACCTCAGTGATATCCTCCAAATCGAGGCAGTATGCAGTGGAGGGATATATTCAAAATATAAAAATACACAATCAAGGAGACATGACTACTATAGTATCGAGGCTAATGCTTACCGGTCTCAAGCGAAATCTGAGAAACCCCATGACCTGTAACGTTACCTCAAATGCAGCCAGCACAGCCTTGAAGAAGATATTATAAGCTGGTTCAGTGGCTTATTGTTTGGAGTAATACATATATAACTTGCGTTGCATATTTAGAAATTTAGCTTTAGATACAGGATTATACATTTGCTTTAGCAAGCAGTTGTTAATTACCACGGCATCCGCTTGCGTGTCATGCTGAATGTGTTTAAAAAGGAACTATACATAAGAGATCAAAAGATGCAGTTAACCATACACTATTTAAAGGGTTAGTTCACCCAAAAATGAAAATTAAGTAATTAATTACTCACCCCCATGCTGTACCAACCCCGTAAGACCTTCGTTCGTCTTCGGAACACAAATGAAGATATTTTTGATTAAATTTAAGAGCTGTATAACTACCACATTGGCTGCCTAAGGGACTGCCTCTTGACGGCCCAGAAAGTCAATGAAGAAAATGTTTCATTTTTCGAAAAAACAAACAAAAATAACGAGTTTATTCGACTATTCCTTTTCTTCCTTGTAGGCCAGAAACGAGACTTCCTTAGATTTCCACGACGCATGCGCGAGAAATGAACTGAAGTAGTGTAAGGAGATCACAATTCTCGCGCATGCGTCGTGGAAATCTAAGGAAGTCTCGTTTCAAACCTACAAGGAAGAAAAGAAATAGTCGAATAAACTCGTTATTTTTGTTTGTTTTTTCGCACAAAAAGTATTCTCGTCGCTTGATAAACATATAGTTGAGTCATGGTAGTCACTTGGGATATTTAAACATTTTCTTCATTGACTTTCTGGGCCGTCAAGAGGCAGTCCCTTAGGAGCCAATGTGGTAGTTATACAGCTCTCAAATTTAATCAAAAATATCTTCATTTGTGTTCCGAAGACGAACGAACGTCTTACGGGGTTGGTACAGCATGGGGGTGAGTAATTAATGACTTAATTTTCATTTTTGGGTGAACTATCCCTTTAAGGTTATTTCTATTCGTTCCGATATTGATATATGAACTGATGTTGTCAAGTAAGCAACACCAACAACCCGTTAGAAAACATCATTCCTTTATGGATCCTCTTGATCTGCTTTCTCCATGTTTCTTTGACTAATCTCAGTCTCACGCACGCTGCACGCGAGTTAATCATGTTAGACACATTTAACAGGGAATGGGGCCGTCCACACTGTTTTATCCAATGTAGGCGCTGTAAGAATCACACATTTTGTACTGCACATATTTATACATCAATCATCAGAATGCGCATCGTGAAACAAGACGATTCAGGAATCTTCATGCTTTGGACATGTAAGCACAGACACACAGATAACCCACATGCCCTCATGTTCATGCTCTGATGGTGCATTAATCCTGGTGCCTATTTCACAATAGACATAGAAGGAGCTTCCACTCTATACACACACACACACACACCTTATAGACAGCTTCCATTCTGCGTAGGTGTCCAGTGTGAAACAGAAGATAGATTATATCCTCACAAAAACATGTGCTAAGTTGTGTAAGAATGACTGACTACTCAGACTTAACACAGTAGTCAACATTTGAAGTGGATCAAAAAAGTTCATCAAAGTTGTCCTAAGATAAGAACGGGTATTGTTCAAAAATGAATGTAAAACTTTGTGAAGAAATCAAAAATCACTTCAAATGTTGTTTACTGCTTTCGCACTGGAGGAACCTTTTCATAGTTCCTAGAGTTCTCGTGCACCAGCATTGTCATGTCTTTTCCTATTTTCCTCGAATTTATTAGGTTAGGTTAGGTTACTCTTATTGTACCCGTAGGTAGATTTGTTTTACAGTGCAATGACATTCTATGGCATCTAGTACAAAAACACTCCACAAACACATACAGACAAGAAAGTAAATACTCATACTTTGTAAAGTGCTCTCAAAACATTACTTTGTAAAATCATAAAACTCCTAGTACAACATTTTCGAAAAACCACTTGTTAATCCTATTAATTGCATTGGGTACGAAGCTGCTCATATATCTATTTGTTCTACACCTTGGGATTTTATACCTCCTCGCAGATGGCAATGCCTTAAACTCACTGTACAGGGGTGAGAGTCATCGTTTAAAATTGAAAAGGCCATCCTTTGTTTGTAACTGTTTGGTTTATAGGGATGCCACTCCTGGTTTTGACTTGCCTCTCAAACGGCCAGACCATTTTACTATTTGGTCTAACTGATTTTTTGCCTTCAAAGATATATGACCATACCATACTACAGTGGCAAAGGACAACATAGATTCAATAAAAGTATGATAAAACATTTTCATTATTGTTAAACACAGATAATTTCCTTAGGCAATATAAACACTGGTGCCCCTTTTTGCAGTTTCTCATCAATAATAGTCCCAAGGTATTTGTATGATTGTTGTGCCATCCTCGATATGACTACTTAATATCCTGACGGCCAGTCAAACATTTTCCCAACACCAAGACTCTGAAGATTAATTTCTAGTTCCACAGGTTTATTGGAGTCACAGTAAAAAATGGGAAAAAGTGAAACTGTAACACAAAAAGGCAGGGGAAAATGAGCATAAAGCTAATTTGATTCAACCTTACAGTTGAGTTTCATTTGAACTAATTCTATATAAAAGCAGAAATACACATAAACAGTAGGGAATTATCCCATTATCCCAAACATAGGTAAGATATCCCCTAAAACGAGCAACTAATTAACACATGACACACATGAGAGCTAGCATAAACAAAGCCGTACATTCTGACTACATTATCTCCTCAGATTACACTCCACAAATTATATTGACAAAAATAATAAAGGAAATTCACAAACGATCTCACAAAACAAGATACACATATACTGAAGATGCTACTCCAGACACAAGATGACCGATACAAATTAAATGCTCAGGAACTTACAGACTTAAAGTGCGCGTTCAGTGTGAGAATTTTTCTGACTACGGGTCACGAGAACATGCGAACATTGAACATAAAGTGAACATCTTAAAGTGAAACACATAGGAAATGAACACAAGTCATCCACATATTTTATGATAATTCTGTTCTCAAACATGCTTTGACACATATTTTTATATAAAATAAATAAAAGTGGGGACAGCACACATCCATGAGGAGACCCTGTAGAGGAACTCCTGTTCAGATAAGACACCATTAACTCTGTTGGTTAAAAAATCCAAAATCCAACCCATCAAATGACATATTTCATGGAGCATTTAGCACTCTCATTCAAACGGAGCATGAAAACTCCCTCGTACGCACTCAGGAAAATCAGGAAAATAGGCCAAGAGGGCATTGACTGGCTGATAGCACCACAAGGACACATACAGTGGTCAGAATTGTGGCATCCTGGCCTGTTTTATCTTTTAACTAGTATTAAAATAAGTAAAAGACAAATCAATATAACAAATAAAATACATTTCACACTATATATTCAAAAAAGAGCTTGTACAGGTTATTTGAACACTTTTTTCACAAGTTTATTTGTATGTAAGGTGCGCAATATTTACCCTTGCTTGTCATCTTTCAGACACGTATGTAATGAAGATCACAGCAACTGACGCAGATCAAGAAGGAACTCTGCATTCGAAGATTTCCTACAGCATTGCTCAAGAGAGTCACGCTGACATGTTCTACATTAATCGAGAGACTGGTTGGATACACGTCAGGCAAAACACGCTAGACAGAGAGGTATACAGTCACTAACATGAATTTAAATCATTAAACCGCTTAGCATACAGACTCAGATTTAAAAACTGATTCGAAATTTCTTCGATTAAAGATTGAAAACATTGATTTCTTCTACTTTTCTGGATCGTTTTAACACAGATATTAAATAAAGGTTTTGAAATGAAGTTTTCAGAATTTTTCAAAGTTAAATAAAACTGTTGAAATGAAATGAAGTTGTATTGCTGATATTTGTCTTCCTCGTGAGGCTGAAGTTTTTGCTTGTTTTTTCACCGCAGAAAAAAGACACATACACGTTGACCATTAAAGGAACCGACATGGACGGAGCTTCAAACGGAAATGTAGGGATGGGGACGGCCATCATCAAAATTCTTGACGTCAACGACAACATTCCTACTTTGGAGAAACTCTTTGTAAGATGTCTTTTTTTTTCAGGTCCAGCTAGAGCCATCACAACATATACCAAATTACTTAAAATTACATCTTTAGTTCATGATGCGATCATAGATTTATGCAGATGTGAGCTTGTATATTTTATATTACATATTTAAATTACAAATTGAAAACTTTTGGGATATTGTAAGTACACAACTGCAGAAAATACACACTGTACAAGTGATTTTTGGATGTTTTATTAAAAATATATTACATATTGTACCTTTAAGGCATGAGAACAACACCAGGGTGAGTCGATTTACTTTTAGGGTGAACTAACCCTAATTATTAACAAATGTGGAATTTTTTTGTTTGGTTTGTAGTATGAGTGCCGGGTGGAGGAAAACACTAAAAATGTGGAAGTGATGAGAATTCAAGCGATTGATGCCGATCTGATCTATTCTGAGAACTGGCTGGCGGTCTTCACAATCGTGTCTGGAAACGAGGCCGGTTATTTCTCCATAACCACAGACAGCAAGACCAATGAAGGCATCCTGTTTCTCACTAAGGTAAACTGACCAAACTGTCCTCTTTTTCTGTTTTGCCTCTACAAACAGTGCTTTGTTTTCCCTCGTCCACTAGCAATGTCCAAAAACGGGGTAGAAAGTATAAGTGGACCTCATGGAACAGGCATAAATGTGAAGCAGTTCGATCGGAAGTGTCCGACATTCTTGCATCCCCCATTTCCTGCTGTTCACCCTTTGTTTCGCTTTGAAGGAACTGGACTATGAGGAGCTGAAGGAAATCAGGCTGCAGGTTTCTGTCTCTAACAAGGCGCAGTATCACTCGTCAGTGGTCATTACAGAGAGCAAGACGTATACCATCCAAGTCAGTGTGGTCAACCAGCCCGAGGGCCCTCGCTTCAAACCTGCAGTCAAAGTCATCACCATATCTGAAGAAAGCACCACTATTATTTTAAATAAAGTCATAACCAACTACGCAGCCATTGACAGCGACACACTATTAGTTGCTACTAACGTGAGGTGAGACGAAAATGAACATGCCTTTACAACATAGTCAAGATTGTGGTTTTGTTCAGATGTTGTAATAAAAGTTCTCATTTCATTCATTTTAGGTATGCAAAAGGACAAGACGTCGACAACTGGCTGATTATAGATAAGAGGACGGCTGATATAAGACTCAATAAAATTCCAGATTATGAGTCCAAGTTTCTAGTCAATGGCACATATTATGCCCACATAATCTGCATTACCAATGGTAAGTCAGTCTCATGATACGTATGTAAGACATTTAGCATTGGCAAGCATTTAAAAAAAGAAGCATTAAATAATAGGGGTGTAACGATACCCTCATGTCACGATTCGATACATATCGCGATACGATATTATTGCAATACTCCAAGACGTATGATAAAAGGTTAACACGTTTTTTTCTATTGATTAAAATGCTAAATTTGGTATTGCATTGTGTGTGTTAAAGAATATGCTTGGACTTGGTGCTGGAAACCCAAAGCACAGGACAATAGAGACACTAAAATAACAATATTTATGATTCTGAAGCTGAAAATACAGAGTTATTGTAGACGAATATGCTTGCTCTCTTCACGGACGAGAGATAATGTAGGACACTTTTTACTGGTAACATCAGACATTTGGCATCATCAGAACCCCATTACACATTATATTCAGCATTATATATAGGAGTTTAATGTAGTACTCACACTAAACAATTTTTTTTTGGGTGAACTATATACGCTAAATATTGTCACTATCCACGATATATATTGTTGGATTTTTGTATTACGATATATTGTGAAACATATTGTTGTGTTGCAAACATTAAGTCATGGGAGGAATGTATCACTTCTGTTACAGAAGTTCCAGCTAAAACTGCTACAGGAACCATTGCCATTCAAGTAAAGGACTTTAACGACCACTGTCCTGTGCTGGTCCATCAGTCTCAAACACTGTGCCATGAAGAGCACGTGGTTTATGTCACGGCTTGGGACAAAGACCATTTCCCCAATGGAGCCCCCTTTGGTTTCAATGTGGACACCAAACTAACAAAGGAGTCTTGGCGTGTCGAATATTTCAACGGTAATGAAAAACGAGGACCGAAAAGTCCATATTATTATTCATGTGCATTATTTCTACTGTCTATCTATTCGATTGCTGTGATGTGAAAGCATTAGATTGATTGACTGATTGATGTGAAGACAGGCTGTAATTTAATACTTCAGTCATAAACGTCCATATTTATCATCCGTTCACACTTAGGGCCAGCTCACATATCGCGTCTTCTGCGTGCTCAGGTTTGTTATTTCAAATGTAGGCGCGTGATATAACGGAAGCGACGCGGTCGCGGTGTGACGCGCTCGTTTTTTGAGAATGCGGCGCATCCAGCGTTTTCTACGCGTTTTAGGCGCTATATGTGAATCCGGCCTTAAGAAATCACGTGCTATGTTTCCATCAACCTGTTTTTATGCGCATTTTGGGATATCACATCAAAATCTGCTGGATGGAAATGCCAAGATGTGCATGGACTCTAAAAATTAACATAAAAACTATATGCACTTGTTTGAGTCGGATACATTTTTTATCGGATAAGAAAACATGCGCGTAAACTAAAATGGAAACACGTTTACAGAATAAAGTCTTCTAAGGCCGTGTGTATTTAGCTGTTCTAATTTATTATGCAGGACATATTCAAACATGAGAATACATCAAAAAATAACTCTACGTTCACTCTTTTCCAGTCACAACATTACATGCCTGGGTACGTTTTTTTCTTTTTTGTAACCAAAAGAAAATACAATCCTTTCTTTGTCTCTTATGGGGCTAAAACAATGTCAACAATTTGAACATTTTAAAATGATTTTAAAGTCGTATTCCAAGTTGAATGACTCTTAAACTGCATAATGAAATGCTTGAGAAAAACATGCTACACCTCCTTAAGTGCTTTAAGTGCTTACTGTACATACAGTGTGTGGGAAGGGAGGAGTTCAGTTTGTTTGAACATCAAAGCCATGAGGTATTATTTATCATCATGAATCGCCCCCTAGCGAAAAACTGAGAAATGACTTGAAATCAGCATGAGGGGCAATAGGGTTTGCCTCATATTTCTTTCACAACACTTTTCATGGGAATAATGCTGTAGATGCAAATGCATGGCAGAAGTGTTATGTAAGCATTGCATTTAGACTTTCCATTAAAATGGAAACCATCAATAAGTAACTTGTAATTAAAACCAAGAAACTGAGAAACAGGGAACAGAGCATGCAGAATAAACATGCATGTATAAACAAGACCTGACAATGGACACTTGAAACATAGACAAGAACTAATAGACTAAGACACACCTGGAAACTGATGAGGAGAAACATTAGAAACGGAACAGACTGCAAACTGAAAGTCCACACAACAAAAGATAAGCACAATGAACACGTTTCACTGGTGAATAAATAACTGGATGCAGTCGAGTGTATCAGCAGGGTAATTTCAAGGACATTTCTTCACAAGCACAAGAATGTACTGTTCAGATTTTGGACAGTATTCAAATCCCAGACAGCAACATAGTTTCGGCCAACACGGTGTTGCTGTGTCTGGGACCCCGGAGAAGCTCTGGAAATTATCACATTATCCCACACCCTATCAGAATAGGGCTATATAAACAGACGATAACGTTGTCTAAACGATCCCCGTTCTCACAGATCGACCTAAAAGGCTGTATTATGCATGCCAGGCCAGTAGTTGGCGATGTCAAGAAACACCCCGCGATCATGTAATACACATGCGTGCAGCGTGAACAGCATGACGTCAGTTTGAAACCCGCTTTCAGAAGTTTGTGTTTTCAGGCCCCCAAATTGTAAATAAAATGTGTAATGAACGGGCGTGTCAATGAACGGCCAAAAAAAAACCTGTTTTCAGTTAAAAATGGTTTCGTGTAAACATACCCTTATGGGCCGTACACACCGGGACGAATATCGGCGCGCGTTATTCGCTAGCGTTTTTGTTCAAACACAGTCGATTTTCACTGACGAAGAGCCGAGTGATGAACGGCTGTGTAAATGAACACATCTGTTTACATTTGAAAATGGTGTCGTGTAAACATACTCTTATGGGCCGTACACACCGGGACGACTATCAGCGCACGTTATTCGCTAGCGTTTTTCAAAGTTTTTTTGTGTTCACACATCCAATCGATTTTCGCTGACGATGAGCCGAGTGAACATGTAAATTCATTCCCTGACATTAGATGGCGCTTGATGCAAAACAGAAATAGTCCTATTTTGTAGCCGCTGTTACGTTTGTCATATAGTTCATGTTCCGACACCAATGAGACCAGCAGCTCTACATTCATCTTGCCTTGCATCTTCCTCGTCATATTTCTTCGCGGCAGTGTAGACGCTACTTGGCGTATATCTTCGTTGCCGTTACGTGTGTGTGCTCGGCAAGACCGTTTTGAGTTTGAGCGCCCCCCCCAAGTTATGACTTACTGTAACTTCAAAAGCTCCAAACATGTGAGCAAAAGCACCAATCTCATTGGTCAGATCGTTTTTGACGCAGCGTGTCAAACCAAAACAACTAACCTAAGGCGTTTTTTTTTAAATTACGCTACTATGCGTGGTGTTTTCCGCGTCGGTGTGTACACTCACATTGGCACCCTTTGATAGGTCACGAGGCGTTAAACGTCGGCGAATATCGCACGCAAAAATTCGTGATGTGAACAGGCCTTTAGACTGTAAAGTAAATGTAAAAATATTAGCAACTAATTTAAGTACTGAACTTTTTGCCTCCAGACAGGTCATTAATCATGTATGAATCTATTTATGTCTTCTTGTTTTCAGACACTACAGCGATATTCAGATCTCAAACCACTCTATGGCCCGGTGAGTACCATGTGTTTGTGGATGTGAGGGACCAGCAGGGGAAGATCTGTGCTGCTCAGATGCTTCACATAGACGTCTGCACATGTGACGCGTCGAAAGTTTGCCTGCCAGGAAAAACGGTCTCTAGATTTGGAGTATCTGGTGTTTTTCTAATGTTGCTGGGACTGCTGCTTCTTCTGTGTGAGTAGCAATGTCAACCTCTCTCTTGCTGTACGGACGCGCTGCTTGTTAACAGAGAAATGCTTGCGTCTCGATTTTAAAGTAAAATGTGTGTTTTCCTATAAATATTTTTTTATTGCTTTCACACAGACAGTTTAGAATGGAAGCTAGTTTCCGTCACAGAATAAAAAATAAAAAAGATAATTGCGACTTTTTATCTCACAATTGGAGTTTACATCTCGCAATTCAGTCTTTTTATCTTTAGAATTGCGTGATATAAAGTTGCAATTGCGAGTTATAAAGTCAGAATTGCATGAAGCGTCAGTTTTATTTGAAGACGAAAATGTTGCAATTGCGAGTTATAAAGTCAGAATTGCATGATATAAACTTGAATTTGACGTTTATTTTCCGCAATTCTGACTTTATATCTTGCAGTTCTGAGAACTAAAGTCAGAATTGCAAGATTTAACTCCATTTGTGGGATAAACTCGCAATTATCTTTTAAAATGTTTTTATTTTGTGGCGGAAACTAGCTTCCATAGTTTAGTTTGAATTAGAGCATGGTTTTCAAGAAAACGTGTTAATGTGAAAGCTGTCATGTGTACACAGGAACACATAGAACGTGGTCAGAGTTCGGTCGCACTTGAACTCTGGTTGAAAGCATCTCAAACTTGAGTCTGTACTTGTTCAGGAAGTAACGTGCATTTTACCCGATGATGACATCATTAGTTCTTTATGAATAGGGAGACAGTGGTGATGATTTACCTCAGATACGAGTGAGTGAGCAGTAAGTGTGATCAGCAGCAAATGAGTGGCTCTCAGTCAGCCGTCTGTCTTTATCAATTATTTTATTATCAATTATTATGACATTTCTTCGTTACACTTTATTCCGATGGTCCACTCTACACATTCTACTAACTATAATAATTTGCAACTACATGTCAACTAGCAGTCATAAGAGTGCTAGTTAGGGTTGCGTATCGTTTGAATTTGAACGATTCTGATTCCGATTCCTTGTTTCGATTCCGGTTCCTAACGATTCTCGATTCCGATTCTTTTAAGAGGCAGGGTCAAAAAAGTTTAGCTAACCTTGCTAACCAATGGCCTTTCTGAAGGCAATACTCCTTCTGTAAAAATACTCCTTTTGTCACAATATTAGCATTTTGCCGAGATTTCGTTATTTTTAGAAAAGTGAAGCCACACTTTGGATCGCCGACGTAAGGTACTCATGTTCGACTCGCGTGGTTATGCCAACACTTCCGGTAGACGCTTCTTCGTTGGTGTTGTTCAGCGGTTTCTTCTTCCGCTCGGCGGACTGTGAATATCGAAACTAGGAATCGAAATTTTAACTTTTGAACGATTCCGGGAAAAAACGAAAAGTTAGTCTCGGTTCCAATCGATACTCGATTCTCGATACCCAACCCTAGTGCTAGTAGACTATTAGGTTTAGGTTAGGTTTTAGAAAGTAAGTTTACAAGTAGTTGCAAAGTTACTTATAATTATTAGAATGGACCATCACATTTTTTTGGAGCCCTACATCACTGTCAAACTAAAGGCCACTCTATCCAAAACTTAAAATAACACTAAAAATAAGCACTTAAAATAACAAAATACTAATTACTTCTGGTCCTCCATGTACACATCCTATAGATTTTGAAATCTCAGTATACCTGTACGTTCATATCAGTAAAATGTAAGTGCTACATAAGAATCATGTGGTTGTGGATATGTTTAAAGATGATTCCAGCTGAATGAACACGGAGTGATCTGTGTTCGCAGTGGTTCCTCTTCTGCTGCTGTTCTGTGTTTGTGGAGGTGCAGCAGCTGCAGCCAATTTCAAGACCATCGCATTTGATGCTAAAGAGCATCTTATAGCATACAACACTGAAGGACAGGGAGAGGACAAGGTAGGTGACCCTAATCCATTGCCAGTCATATCCAATCAGACAATAGAAATGGCTGTCAACAGCCAATCAGTTTTTGTGCACAACTCAGTCTAAGCACCCACACAACACATGGCACACACATTTTTAGAAATGTTTACATTTTATATTTGTATCACTATGATTAGAGTTATTGGCATTAAAATATCTAAAAGAAATTGGAGAAAAATGGGAATGCTGTAGTTATTTGCAGTAGTTCACCACTACATTACCCACTATACCCCTATTCTCCACTATTTACGTTTACCCAACCGAAATTATGTTGGTTCTGAGAACCTCAGAAATGTGAAAATTTAACATAGTTGTACAGTAAATATAACAAGGGCTTTTGATGAAAGATAATAATAATTATACTTTTGTGTTACATTAGACCTGCCAACCCATACGCATTTTGTGTAACAGATACGTATTTTGACCTCAAAGTACGCTGGTACAATTTGTCACTTTAATCTACGGAAAAACCTGGTGACGCCTCTGTGTACGCGCGCTCCTCAAATCAAGCAACAGCAAAATAAGCGGAGTTCGACCAATCATAGCGCCCGCTGGGTTCATTCCCATGGGCTGGTCTGGATGTGGAAAGTTGAAATATTATTTTTATTTAACTTAATCTGGATTCGATGATCATATTCATCGAATCCACATTCATCGAATCCTGAGTGTTCGCAATCACATGGGTTATCTTATGAAAGTTCTGTGATTTGTGGATTACTGGAGCGCGATTGACGGGCTAAGTTAAATTTAGCCCGTCAAAATTAAAACCAAAATTGACGGTCTAAGTTAAATTTCCACGTCACAAATTAAACCCCTTTTTTGTGGGATTTAGTATCATATTTAGATATTGCCATGGGATAATAAATTAAGTAGCTTTATCTTAAATGTACATAGCTATTTGTTGTTTTTTTACTGTTTTCTGGGGGTTTCTTAGTTTTAGACTAGTTGACCAGCACACATTAGTCAAAACTAGAATTACGGAGATAGGCATGTGTTTGTGTGTGTCTTGCATTGTCTCAAAAAATATAAATTATTTTTTGAAACAAACACATGTGTTTTTGTGTGTCTTGTGAAGAGTCTTTCCCCACGACTGATACTACTCAAAGAATAATTTCAAGGTTGGCAGGTCTGTTACATGAGTAAAGAGCACTGCTGCAGAAATGTTTGCTCTTCACTGTCACAAATTGTTAAACCTAATAATTACACATGCCTAATATTTATTTAGTTATTTATTAATCTGTATAGAACCTGCCCTGAAAAAAATATGCAATAGATTGCGTTTTTCGGCTTCAGTCTGTTGAGGTTCATCTCATACAACCCAATTGTCTTTTTCACAAAACACGGTGTCTTTTTGGGGATCTAAATCTAAAGAGGCTCAAGAAGCACCACCATGGATCTATCGATGTGGATATTCCCATTTTTGTGGCTTTATGAAAGGGATATTCCACATGTAAGAAAGGGGAAAAAACTCCAGACGTCCTAGATTAAATTTAGAGGAAACTTCTCGTTGTATGTTTTAGTTTCGGATGGTCTGAAGTTTTGATGTTTTCTTTAGTAGAAAGAAAAGTAGTGTTTTCTTTTTGTCTTTTATTCAAATCATGCGCTTGCATCTGTAAGGGTTCTTATCAAGTTAAAGTGATTTGGTAATATCATTTACTTGCCAAAGATCATTCGGCACTAAGTAAGTGTTATTTTAAGACCCTACGTGTAGCTCATATGTGAATATTGTATCAGGCACCGTTAACAGAGGCATACAAATATGTTGTGCTCTGCCCTACAGAAAATGGCTCTCTTACAGATGTCAAAAGAGCGTGATGACATCATTAATGTGGACACTTTTGGAGGAGCTCATAAGGGGAGTGAGGGAACTGCTGGAAAACATCATGGTGGAGTGAGAGCTGACGGCTCACATTGGTCCTCTTTCTACCAATATGACCAGCGTGATGGGGCATATCATCACCACAAGAGTCAGACTAATGGGGACTACATGTATACAAAAAGGAAAGATGAATATAGCAGATTTGATGGCTATGATGGACTTGCACTGTCTGACGCTTTCTTAGGCAACTACTATTCTCAAGTAAGTGTGACTTTTACACAGCTATATATCAATGTCGCATTGAGTTTAAAGGGGTCATGACCAATAAAAAGAGGTCTCTTGAGAGCCACCAATGAATATGTGCTTAAAGTTTTTCAGATAGGTCTATCTAATAGTAGTTATCAGGTAAGAAATACTACCGAAATTCAAAAAGTCCTCTTGTGGACATCCATGCATTACTCTTTTGCTGTTCCACATACAGGCTGTGGTCTCTTGCGCAGTTTCAGCTCCAATTCAATTATGATGTTGTGTTTGAATCACAATTTATGGGATTGTGACATTTGTAATACAATGCAAATTTGCTTGAAACCACTTTTAATTCAGACTATATTGAAATTATACCATGACAGGCAATACAATCTAACTATTAAGAGAAGCAACACCTCTGAAAAGTAATAAAACAGTCTACTTTACAGATTAACACTCAAATGGTATTTGTTTCCTGTTTACACTTCTGGACTTCGGGTATATACGACCCCAACAATTGATTGAGTAATTGTAGAAAAAAATATACATTTTTATACATTTTCATACAAATAATATATCATTTTTTTGTTTACTTCTCATCTATTCATTAATGCTGTGTTTTTGCAGATATGAAGTACTGTTGTATCTATATACCACACAATTCCTCAACTACACCATTAGCTTGCATATTTTTTTATGATACATTGCATTTATGCTCTAGTACTAGGCCTTCATTTCTGTGTAAAAAAATGTTTGTTTTTTTTGACACATGAAGAAAATATATTTAGTTTTTTTTTTTCACATTTCCAATTCATTTCAATGTGGGGTCATATTGACCCCGAAACCAGAAGTGTAAAAACTTCAGAACAACCGAATCAAGCCCAGTTTTTGTGTGTGTGTATAGATAGATAATGTATGAAAAGTCACAAAATCTTATTCCACTGAGATGAAGGGAACCTTTTTTTTTTATTAAGTAAAAGTCGATTGGGGTCGTATAGACCCCATGATTGTGGACTGTGATTTAATAATAATAAAAATAATCACAAAAGATTGACGGATGGGCCCTTAGCACTCGAAAACAAGACTTTTAAGAGTGACAGTTTAAACTTCAACTTTAAACTTAGAAAAATTGTAAAATGAAAATATTCTTTAATATAGTATGTACGGTTGGAACTATGTTTTTGGCGTTGTATTTTTGGGTGATTGGTGTCTTTCTGTCATGACAACTCTTGGGAGATTGATATGGTAATAGAGATTGGAGTGGATATGGCTATGCTAATGTATTTGATCGAGGCGGAGTAGAGTACTGAGACTTTCTTCTGCCGATACATTCACAGATAGGGTTGGGTATCGTTTAAATTTGAACAATTACGATTTCGATTCTAATCGATTCCTAATTTTGATTCCAGTCTGAAAGCGTAGCTTTACTCCTAACAGCAACACTACCCGCATTTGAATGTTGAGCTGCAACTCATTGAGCTGCAAATCAGCTGCGCCGTGTAGATAATGATTTGATCAATACCAAATTGAGTTGAGGACCTATCAGCCTGCGCCATCTAGAGTTTCATGACAGAACTTGGTATATGAATGGGTCAGTAAATGCAACATTATTTGTGTTATTACAGAAAACAGGCTATGTGTCTAAGCAGCAAGAAATGGGAGACTGTCTGAAGGTCTATGACTACGAGGATCAGGAATCTCGCATGGGCTCATTGGAGGACATCTGCAGTCTCTTGCATGAAGACGATGACCTTGCTTTTCTTGATAACCTCAACATAAGGTTCAAAACCCTGGCTGAGATCATTAGTGGTTCTACAATGGAGTCTGAAATGAGCACGGCCACCCATGTGACCTCCAAACCGGTCCTATCTACCACACACAAAGATGACAAGGTACACGGGACGGCTAGTCTGCAACACTCTCAGCAGAAAGCTAGCTCTTCCGCCACCATTCATACGTCAGGAGCACATCAGACCAGCAGCTCGTCCTCTACAGGAGTGTATGTCCATGAGAACGTGATGGTTCCTAACCCGACTGTGTTAGTCCAGCAGCCTGCGTTGTACTACTCCTCCGCCACCCCCATTTATGTGGTTGAACCCCATCCTACTGTGTTGGTGACGCCCAGCCCATTCCTAGGCATTCAGAAGAACATGCTAGTGGAGGAGCAGAAGAGATCGGATGCCGCCTTGCGTGGATCTGCCAGTCGTGAAATGCAGCACTACCAGAGCGTAGTCCTCGTGGAGAAGCAGCCGATCACTAAAGCGTCTGTTCAGGCTCAAGGGAGCGTCTCCGGAGGGGTTCAGATTGTTAACACTGAAGTAATGCACTCCTCGGAGTCTCGTGAGGTCAGACGGGTCGTTCCTCCGGTCAGAACGGTGATGTCAGGAGGGGCCAGAGAGAGGGACGTTATTGGCTCGTTGGATATGAGGTTTCCTCAGAGTCTGTAAGCAGTGTCGCGATCTGTAATATATCGGATTGATAATTCCCTCCCACATCTGTAAGTTCATCTCCGCTCGCTGCTGATTTATAATGATTGATTGATTAACCTTTATAGAACAAGTTCTTATTTTCAACAACAGCTTGGGCCAGTTGTTCAAAGGTAAACTGATCGGATTTTGGTTATCGGATTGGATCAAATCTTGAAAATGGGTTGTTCAAAAGGGAAAGAAGGGGGTCCAATCAGGGAATCCAATCCTAGTTTTAATCTGGATCAAACCTTCAGTTTGTGTTGTTCAAAACTTGTCAGTGGGATTTAGATAACTTTGATAAAAAAAAAAAAACAGGATTATCCTGATCCCAACAGGGGGTAGGATTTCAAGGCGGATTTCAGTAAAAAATTTTAGTAAAACTTTAAAATTGGTCAAATAATACATTTGTATCATTTAGTGTATATACTTTTATTTATATTTTGCGCTTGACTTGTGTAACCGTTGTATCAGTGATAAAGTAGGTCATAGGCTAACAATTAAGCTATTCAGGATAGTAAAATAAAAATTATCTTGTCCCCATTTGTGTTTTGCCTCAAAATAAGAAACACTTACAGTGACCCCATGTTGGCTCTTCTACCTGTTCTGGTAGCCCACATTGTGATATGTTGTCCCATTAAGAGCACTGGTAATCCGCATTTGGTAATCTTGAAAACTGTGTATCTGGATCAGGGTGATCCAGTCCAACATTGCTTTGAAAAACCGGCATAAAAGTATGACGGATTACCTGATCCTGGATAGGAAAAAATGGGATTTCCAGATCCGGATCATTTTGATCCAGATTAAATGTTTTGAACAACTGGCCCCTTAAGGTAGGAGAGTACAAATCTCCTTAAAGACTTAATAGCATATTACAATACACACACATACATTCATTTAAAACATTTACAAGCTATGATTAAAACACTCCCTAATAGTTTTTTTAAATGCAGAGATTGAAAAAAAAAAAAAAAACTTTTGTAGCACATTCCAATCATTTGGGCCAGCAAAAGCTGAGTTTTCTTTCTAGGGATACTCAAAAGAATATGATTAGATGACCAGGTTGAATATGTTCTGTAAAACAATATTGTTGGTTTAACTTAAAATTTTAAGGCAACCAGGTTACTTCAATTTTTAAGTTCATTGAAATGGAAAAAATGAGTTGATGCAATGAAGGAGATTGATTTAATCATCAGAAACTCAAATATTATGTTATCTGAACTACAGAAATGATTTAAGTTGACTTGACAAAAGAAAAAAATGTTGTGATTAAAAATCATGAAAATATTTTTTTACAGTGCAACTCTTGCAGGGATTTGGGTAATAGACCAAACTTTATAAATGAAAATACATATTTCCCATCTAATATGTAATGATGTAATCCAATTTGAAAGGCAAATCAGTTCACAGTGATGCGTTCTGTAAGGTGCATTAGCGATCAGCCTGTGTGATATAACACATCTATAATTGTTCTAAAATAAGTGCTTTCCTATATACTAGTCAAATAATGGTAAAATAATGGTTTCAACAAGATATCTCTTGGCTGATGTAGTAAACGTAGATTTACTACATATAATATACAAATAGCTTTCCTTTTCAAATTCAAGACTTAATATTCTGGAGTGTATCTGGATCAGCAGCGTCCTGTCGACCCTCAGCGTCAGAGAGTGAATGATGCATGATTGTTCCTCCACAACCAGATACAAAGACACTGGCTGTACTAGAACTTTAATGCCCTGTTTACAGCCGGTGTTAAGATGTGTTTCGGTGGATCGGATCACTAGTGGACGACACTAAACACAGGTGTAAACGGGGTTTAAGAGGCTTTGAGCTTGTCCAGAGGAAGTTGAAAACACATTCGACCGGATTGCTTTAGTAGTTTAAACGCTCATGTGACCGAATGTGTTCAAACAGCCACTAAAGAGCGTCTTCTCTCTGTCTACTGATCTAATGAGTAACATAATGAGAAGAGCGATAGCCAGAAGACGGGGTTTAACTGTCGACTGGAGACCAAAGTTTGAAGATGAAAAATGTCCCAAGCACAATGTTCTCTCTCCATTCCTGATCTCCAACACACACTCACAGCGTTCGGCTGGTCTTGTGTCTGTCAGAGGAGAAACTAAAGAAGCTCTTTGTCTTTTTCTGTCGTCTCCGGTCGTGTTCGTGTGTGAATTGCGTGAGCTTTTCTCGTCCATTAGATTGAAAGATTAGAAGAAATCCACACATTCACCCAAATATAGACCCTCCCCTCGAAGAAATCAGGACAGAAGTGTGTGAAAGTGGAAAAAGAGATGTCTACTCTCTCTCGTCTACTTGTGATCCGATCCACCAAAACACACGTTAATAGCGAGTGTAAACGGCCATACTCTCTCCCACTGTGGTGAAATGAGTCTTCTGAGACTCTTCTATGAGCATTAATTCACAACCATAAGTAAACGCTTCTTCTTATCAGTAAAACAAACTAAGAAACAAATATTTTTGTTGCATTTATATTTCTTCGCTAACTTTGTGCTGTTCTGGTGGTATAAACATTTTATATCGCAGCACTGCTAATATACAGTTTTCTATGAAGTTTGTTGCTTGTGTTTTTGTTTATTTGTCATTTTCGTTACTTTTGATTAAAAGTTTCTGTTTTATGAATACATGTAAATACTTCACCTAAAGGCTGAAATCAGCATCCGTTGATGAACTCCTGCACAAATTACATCTTAATGTTTTTGACGGTTTTGTTTGTGAGGATTTTGTTTGTCAGATAGTTGTTTTTTTTAACTAATTTAGAAAAAATCTAGAATAATCACCATTGTTTATGAAATGTATTTTTTTATTTGGTGGGATAAGATTTAGTTGCTTTATCTTTTCCACATGCTGTGCGAATTTAGCAGCTCATGTCTGTCAGTGTATTAATGAACGCCAGCTGTTTACTACTGTATACTTCAGTTGTAAACTACATCTGTTTAAACACCTTTATCAATGGCATGTGTAAATGGGAATTAAAGTCATTTGTTCAGAATGACTGTAAAGTAATAGACACTGTAAAGTTATGAATTGCACTGGAGTTTTTTCCACCTTTTCTTGGCGGTATGTAAAGCTGTAGGTATTAAAATAAAACTTCCATTGCCAGGTGTATCTTATTACTCCTGCACTTGTCTTTTCAAGGACCAGAAAAGGGAATGATTAATAATCAGTATGATCTTATTTGTATGCGGTTATGTGAATTAAAAACTATATTGCTTACTGTGGATGTTCATAAGAGTTTTTATTAAAAAAATCATCTTTAAGAAACGTTTTCAGTTTATTGTATTAAGAATGATGGTTAGAATAACACAAATAAGAATAACACACACACAAAAAAAATGAATTAAAAATAGGACTTTTTAAACTATTGTCACTGTCCATTACATATTCGAAAAGGAGTGGGAAGAAGAAGAAAAAAACATTTAATCCCACCCTCTATCCATAAATCAAAAGCTTACACATAATCGACCCTCGTCCCAAATATCTACTTTCTTTTACCCCAAATCAATTCAAAATGTACACCAATTATTTAAACAAGAAAAAATATAAAATTCAAAGTGCAGAAAAAAATGAAGTAATGATAACAACACAATGAAACTGAAGATAATTACTAACCCCCAAAACACCCTGTATCTCTTGAAAACCATACCATTATCCCTGATTTTAAATTGATTTATGTTTGGACATTTCTTTTGTTTCTCATTGAGACTGTTCCACAGCTTTACTCCAGAACTTGAAATGCTAAAACTTTTCCGAGTTGTCCATATCCTGTTTGTTTTGACATTGTGTTTCCCCTTTAACTTACAGTATAACCTCCCTCTCTCTCTCTTCCTGAATAATATTTGAATATTTCTCGGTAATATATTATTTTTGGCTTTAAACATTATCTGGGCTGATTGATACTTCACAAGATCTGAGAATTGTAATAATTTTTATAATTTTGACTGAAGGAGTAATGAGTGAGTGTGATCCCTACCCATCTTATTGCTCTTTTTTGGAGCACAGATAGCGAATGTAATTAATTTTTGTAGTTGTGTCCCCAAATCTCAGCACAGTAAATGAAATATGGTAAAACTAGTGAACAGCGAGATTTTTGATCCAGAACCTGCTTTGCTTTATTTCACTCTTGAATTGATCTTGATAGTTTGGATTGTACATAATTAATGTGTGTATTCCCAACCGATTCTGTCAACTATAATTACCCCAAGAAATGTATTTTCATGAACTCTATAAATTATAACCCCATATATTTGTGTGTTGACCTGAATATTAATGTTACAATTCCCAAATATAAATATTTTAGTTTTATTTAAATTTAATGATAATTTATTTATATCAAACCATATCTTTTATTTGTTCATTTCTTTAGTGGCATCCTTCACTAGTTTCTGCAAGTTTTCACCTGAACAGAATATATTTGTATCATCTGAAAATAACACCATCTTCAACAACTTAGATATGTCATTAATTTGCAAAATGGGGGACACCCCTGGGGGACACCACAAGCAATGAACACTGATCTGGAGCTTCCTAACTTCATAAACTGCTGTCTCTACTCTACTTATATTAGATAACTCCTCACCCCAGTAGCGGTTTTAGGCACGGGCGAAACCAAAATTACATCTTTAAGCATTTTTTCCCTTAAAACATAATTTCTTCATGCCTTAAAATATCTTGAACATAACTCAACGGCCTCATTTAAAAACAAACAAACACCTTGCCTCATTTAGTATGCATGGTTCTATGAATATGCAAATGAGCCCCGCCTCCACTCACTCACTCAGAGATCCACTGGTTGACGATCACTCGTTGATCTGATTGGTTACAAGGTCGTTTGTGACGTCAGAAACACCAGCGATTTCACACCGTGTTTTTGAGACTGTCTTTGGTTCACTGCAGTTTTAAGCAGAAAATACTCAGCAATGCTGTCCACTTATGAACTTACACATGCTTTATCTTAAAGGGTTATTTCACCCAAAAATGAAAATTAAGTCATTAATTACTCACCCCCATGCTGTTCCAACCCCGTAAGACCTTTGTTCATCTTCGAAACACAAATAAAGATATTTTTGATTGAATCTGAGAGCTAGATCAGTCCTACATAGACTGCCTAAGGGACTGGCTCTTGATGGCCCAGAAAGTCATTAAAGAAAAGGTTTAAATATTCTATGTGCCTACAGCGGCTCAATTATAAGTTTATCAAGCGACGAGACTACTTTTTGTGTGAAAAAAAACATAACGACTTTATTCGACTATTCTATTACTTCCTTATGGGTGCATGCGCGAGAACTGAGATGAGGACGTTCTCCTTCGTCTACTTCTTGTTACCGGCTGCTCACCGCTTAGGAGTTTTACCGCCCCCTACCGTATAAAATGATGATCCATATATAAGGCGCTCCGGATTATAAGGAACACTGTCGTTTTTTGAGAAGATTAAAGGCTTTTAAGTGCACCTTATAGTGTGGAAAATACGCTAATTGAAAAGCGTATGTACAGCGCGCATCTTCCACTGCTTGTAAACAGAAAGTTTTGCGCTTCCAGCTATATCAGCACATCATCTTATACGGTAGGTGGCGGTAAAACTCCTAAGCGGTGAGCAGCCGGTAACAAGAAGTAGACGAATGAGAACGTCCTCGTCTCAGTTCTCGCGCATGCACCCATAAAGAAGTAATAGAATAGTCGAATTAAGTCGTTATTTATGTTTTTTTTTCGCACAAAAAGTAGTCTCGTCGCTTGATAAACTTATAATTGAGCCGCTGTAGGCACATGGAATATTTAAACCTTTTCTTTAATGACTTTCTGGGCCGTCAAGAGGCAGTCCCTTAGGCAGTCTATGTAGGACTGATCCAGCTCTCAGATTCAATCAAAAATATCTTTATTTGTGTTCCGAAGATGAACGAAGGTCTTACGGGGTTGGTATGGGGGTGAGTAATTAATGACTTAATTTTCATTTTTGGGTGAACTAACCCTTTAAATCACATTTAAAAACACCACATGGAGATATAAACGGCAAGCGGGAACGGCAGAACAAGTGAAACTTTTTTTATTTCTACAGTAGGTGCTATGGTGAGCAAACGAAGAGGTTGTAAGAGATTAAACAAAATAATTATTTACAAAGGTTAATATCTATGTACACACAGGCAATTATTAAGGGAATTGGACAATGCCAAAGCAAAGAACAAAACAGAAACGCAAACTTTCTAACTTGTTTTTTTTTTTTAACCAATCTAATAGAAAATAAATAGACATCTTATCTACCCTACACTAAAAACACAGCACATGTCCCTAACCTGGTGTATTTATACAGAAACAAAGTGTGTACCATGTGTGTCACATAACGAGTGAGGAAGAGAAAGAAACACACACACACACACAAAACAATAGCACTAATCAATAAACCATACGATTATCAATTCCATTGAAAAAAAAAAAAACATTTCCAGACGTTTCCCTGGACCTGCGGGTCATTATCCTTCTCTCTTTCCCGACCATGACTCAACTTCAGTCCAGAAATAAAGAGTCCACCGAATTGCCAAATTCCTATTTAATATGTTTCCCTTAAGTCCAGATGATATTGTGTGATATAGTGACATTAACTTATTTTTTGATGATCATTTTCCACTCTTGCCTGTTTTAGGATTAAACATGCTATTTCAAATAAAATATATGTTTTTAAATTTCTGTTAATTTCCATATGTGATGTGTATACTCAAAGGCATGCCACGTTTTTAGGGCTGTCATAGGGCTGGAGCATATCCCTGTTTTCTAGGCCAAAGGCACCCCGGAAAGATTAGTCCACTTTTTGAAACTACATGATCTAATTTCAAGCTTTTTTGTCCTTTTTTTCAGTTGATGATTCACGATTAAAATACTTATATGTCGCTGCTCCAACTCCACAAACTCCAGCTACAGCAGCTACACCCACACCCCCCAGCCACACCCCCCGCCACTGCAGCACCAACTACTGTAGCTTTAGCAGCTCCTGCTAAACAAGCTCCTCCCCCACCTACTCCTGCTCCTGCTGCTGCTCCTAGTGCTCCTGCTCGCAAGAGCAAATTTCTTTGAGTTTCCTCATATTTCTTTCTAGTGTAAAGTTCATTTTCATTCACCATTTTCCTTATCTTTTCCACAAGCTCAGTGACCTGGGAGCGATCATTAGTTCTGTTTCTAAAAACCTGATATCTTCTATTACACTGATTAACTAACCTCTGCAGACTTTCCCCCATAAATTCTTCAATTGTTGTTTCACTGGAGTCTAATTCATCTCCATTTGTAAACAACACGATGGTGTTTTTTGAAGCCTCTTCACCATAGTTATCCTGGATCCACTTCACAGAATTCCTTTCCTCCTCTGTAAATTTAGTGCACACACTGATCACCAGCAGAAATGCATGAACACCATCACCAGAATGATTGAACATCTCTGCTATTTTATCTTTAAGTTGTCCTTTGCTCATTGATGTGTCACAGAGTCCCGGCGTGTCAATCACAGTGATTCTCTGGCCATCTACTATCACATTGTGTGCACTACATTTCTTAGTGACCGACTCTGAAGAACGTTTCTCCCCAAAAGCCTTTTTTCCCAGGATGGTGTTTCCTGTTGCACTCTTCCCGGCTCCAGTTTTACCCAGCAGAACGATCCGGAGATCTTTTCTGTTGATATGCTCTAAAATAAGACAAAATACATACACCTTTTCTCTTATGCAAGATATTTTTTTTATATTAAATAATATTGAATTAACTTAGAAACATTTTTAAAAACCTAACACTTAGATTATCCAAAAATAATAAATTATCAGAAAGCGTACTGCCTTGTTCTTTAAGACAAATAAATAAATACATTAAGCAATTACTCAACATTAAGTATACATATACTTAATATACTAGTGTTAAAGCAATCTGCCTTTATCTCATAGGAAAGTCCAACCCAGGACTTAAACATGGGTCCCCGTCAGCCTCCAGCTCTTGTCTCGAGGTTGTACAGGCCATTTTGCCATTAGTTTGATATGGCAAATCTTTTAACAGCATTTCACATAATGCCAGAACAAACATACAGATCTGAGATCAGTACTCACCCGTCTGTGCCATAGTTTTAAGGCGCCAGGTAAATCTGTGACACAAAATTATAGTTTGCAATTACACACATTAACAAATTCTACAAATGAAACACTTTGACAGTATAACAGCACAGCCTTCTAAACAACTATAAGGACCCTCAATATTGTGTGTGTGTGTGTGTGTGTGTGTGTGCGTGTCAAATCCTGCCTTTTGAATCCTTTTAGTTCGGTATTAAAATAGATTCAATAGATCATATTACATTTATTTAATATAAGGAAGAAAAAACATCAGGTGGTCAAATTGTATTAATTTATACATTTTTTTAATTGTTTATTTTAATATAATTGTTACAACAAGGCGATTCCATCTTACATTCGCATGTTATCACATTTACAAAAAGTATCTCTTTACATCGACTCATCATGTTATGATTTATTATATGAATGGTTAAAACTAAAAGCATAAAAAAATGTGGATAATCATGCATTAATTATTTTTTCATGCAGATCAGGACCTCTGATTCATACTGATATATGAATCATTTCTTTCAGACAAGATCTTGTATAGTTTAAAAGCTATCATTGATATTACAACCACTGATATTGGTTTAAAATGTCCTTTTATAAATTGCATTGTTCTTTTAACAACTCCATCTACTTTTCCTTTCTCTTCTTCCTTCTCTTGGTTCTTTTTCTCTTCCTCTTCTTTTCTGATCTCACTCTGAGCCTTCTGATACATTTCCGCAGTGTAGTATTCATCCATTCTTTTATTTTTAATCATCATATCCTTTATTTTCTCCAGCAGCTCAGAGACCTGAGTTTGATTCTTCTCTGCATTATTAAAGGCATGATATGTCACCTTCAATTCATCTATAGCTAGGAGTTCATTTATCTTGATGCTCTCTTGCAGAAATTCATCTAGTGATTTTTCCAATTTATCAGCTCCAGTGAACAACAGGATGATGAATCTCATAACATCTTCTCCAAAGTTTTTCTGAATCCATCTCACTGTGTTCTGCTCTTCCTCTGTAAACCTGTCGAGTTTGATGACCAGCAGAATCACATGAGGACCAGGATCAGACATCTGCAGAAACCTCTCAATCTCAACCTTCAGATCTTCTTCACTTGTGATGGATGTGTGAAACAGTCCAGGTGTGTCAATCATTGTGATGTTTATAGCACCCACTTTTCCCTCATGTTTCTCACACTGTTGAGTTGTAGATTCAGAGGAGAACCCTACTTTAAACACATTTCTGCCAAAGATGGTGTTTCCTGTTGAACTCTTTCCTGATCCACTTTTACCCAGCAGGACAATCCTCATGTCAGACACTGTGAAACAAAGACTAAAATAAAATCTGTTGGCTGTATATCAGTATTTCAGAACAGAACAGAGATTTAGTCAAGACCAAACCAATATCATGCACCTCATTTATAGCATGTTGAGTAGAAACCATTATATTTGATCTAAGGTAATTTCCTTGTGATCAAGAGAACTAACACAGCAAAATCCCTGGTGTTAAATTAACACTGTTTGGTGTTTGTATGGAGATCACCGTGTCAAAGGGGACCTATTATGCCCCTTAATTTTGTGTTTCCTTTAAATGCAAATAAGCTGCTGCTCACCACCCTCTTTCCAAAAGAGGGCGGATCCTTTACAGCTCATGCTTCGGATACTCAGTAACATCGAAAATGGAGAATCTCAGCAGACAAAATGTCAATAATTGTCAGTAGCAGTGTTCAGCCAGAGGCAGACAATGATGGAGAGAAGTTACAAATTTCAGAATGCAACGGGACGTTTCTGAATGGTTAGTGGATACATGGATTATGGATTTGTTGTGGAGTAGGGTTGATTCAACTCATCGACTAGTATTGTCAGGCCCACTTTACTATTGTAAATATGGTATGTAACAAGATTAACTTGGAAGCGAGGGTTTACAGATCAAAATGCAAGCGGAAGAAGTCTTGTGTTACAGTCGCCACAATTGCAAACGTCTTTTTTTGAGCCATTGGGTGTATTTGACCTAACTGTTACACTGTACATGCCGTAAGTATCAGTGATGCGCGGGTTGATCCGAAATGAGCGGGTGCCTGCGGTCACCCGCGGTTACCCGCAGTTACGGGTCATCCAAAAATGTTTTTAATGATATTCGGGTCGCGGTCGGTCGGGTCGTTTGAAAAAAGATGTCAATTAAACATTTGTATTAATATAGTACTAGACACAATGTTTGATGAAATATACAGCCCTACACATTATTGGCTGCAATAACTGGCACGAAGATAACACACAAGCTCAGTCTAAACAGTTCTCGGTTCTATACTAGTGATTCGAGAACCGCTGTCCCTGTGCGTTCGGTATACGCAGTATCAGCTGCTCGTGCTCATCACTTCTCTCAACAGTGGCACATGTCTCGGTTCAGTGAACTGTTGGAGTTACTGGAGTAAAATATAATTCAGGATATTGATTTATTTCGATTTGTAGGCGACTGTCAGGCATGTCTGAAAGTGAGTAACTTCAGTAACTTGTGGATCAGCACTGACGCAAGACGCGAACTGTTTCGAACGATTCAGTTCGATTTAGTGTACTGGTTCGACCGGTTCACTAAAAAGAACCGGTTCAAAAGAATGATTCGTTCACGAACCGGGTAACAGCCGGCCATGATCACTACAGTCTGCAGAGAGATGGGGGCGGCAAGAGAAAAGGTGATGACTGGGGAGTGGAAGCTCCGCAAATACACAAATAGAAAGAGTAAAAGTGTGCGAGACATTTGCTGAAATAATGAAAGATGATGGCGAAAGTGCTGGCTTTGCCTTTGTTATGTGTAGGCCTACGTCTTCTTGCGACGCTGTGTTGTTACTATGGCCCAATAACGCTCTGATGAGCATTTACTAATTTTTAAAAATGCGGTCAGGAAGCGGGTCGGTTACAATATTTTTTTACTTTTTTTTTGCGGTCCGAGTTGCGGGCGGGTAGTTGAAAACGTCGGTCGGTTGCGGGTTGTTTATACATTGACCCGCGCATCACTGGTAAGTATGATAGTATCACACTGACGTATGACAGTAGATATTTAGGTTTTTACGTTAGCAGTTTGTACGTTAGGTGCGTCTTCATTGGGATTGGGATTGAATCCTTAGGGAATCAGGTCACTCCACCCCCATCATTAAAAAATAAACCAGGGTTCAGTCGTATTGTGCAGATAATTGGTCCGTTCGGGCAAATCTTATCACACTTTTGAAATGCTCTGGTGAACGCATGCACAGTATGGTGATTCAATACATGAATACCCATGCCCATCCTTTCAGGATACCTGGAATCCGTGAAACAAGAACCCCAGGCACATCGTTGTACCATTTTTGTAGGATAAACACCATGTTAAAATGGATCTTCCAATGTTTCTCTAGCGCAGAAACCTAAATATGTCAGAGTTCTGGTCCCCGTGCAACTGATATTCAACTGCCAATTGGCTCATTTGTGTTAAAGGGGAGGGGCTTATTGAATTTTAAGAATGTTCACTGTAATATTAAAGCGTTACTTCATTCAAAAATGAGAATTATGTCAGTAATTACTCACCCTCATGTTGTTCCAACCCCATAAGGCTTTCATTCATCTTCGGAACACTAATTAAGATATTTTTAATGAAATCTGAGAGTGTCTCACTCCTCCATAGACTTGTATTGGATCAAAACTTGCCGGCCCAGAAAAGTTAGTAAACACATTGTTAAAATTGCACAAGTGATATGATAGTCCTTCACGTCTATTGCGATATCAAAATTCAGGCCAGTTGATTATACCATAGAACATCAAAATCAACTGCAGGTGGTTGATCCTTATTCCTATATAGCACCAAAACTTTGGATCAATCTCCCAAACATTGTCCGTGAAGCAAACACAGTTGAAAGCTAGACTAAAGACATCTCTTTGATCTTGCATACACATAACACATTATAGACTTCTATAATTAAATGTTAGGCTGCATAGATTAGGTTGGCCGGAACCGGGAACACTCCCTATAAATCCTGATGTACACGTTACATCATAAGAAGAATGGCATCTATGCTAATATTAGTCTCTCTTTTTATCCCGAGGATCGAGGTTGTATCCAGATCTGATGATGGAACTGCGCCTGGACGCTACGATAACGCAGGCCTGAAGTCTCAACTAGTCCCTCCCCTGTGAAGACCTCCTTCCCGTTGAATTATCCCGTTGTTGGGATAAGTCCAGTTAATGTGGCTACGCCAAAGCAATAATAATTCTGTAATATACATTTTTAAGGCCAGACAAGTAGTTTGTTGAGGGTTGTTTTTTTAGGGAAGGACTACATACCTGCGTAGTGCGCACATATACTTAAACGTGCATACCTATATAATGAATAATAATCTTAAAACGCATGTGGCCGCCATCATTGTTCTCACAGGTTCGAGCTTTTCAAAGTTTGCTCAGAGAGAATGTTACAGTTTTCTATTAAAATGGTGTCGTGTTAGCAACCCCTAAGTTAAAGCTGCAGTAGGTAACTTTTGTAAACAAATATTTTTTTTTACATATTTGTTAAAACTGTCTTTATGTCCTGACAGTAGACTATGAGACAGATAATCTGTGAAAAAATCAAGCTCCTCTGGCTCATCTCAGTGGTCCTGCCATTTGCAGAAATACACCGCTCCCTGTCAGAAACAACCAATCAGGAGGAGTGTCTTAGCAGTGTCAATCATGCTCGTGTACGTGCTGTTCACACCCCTCGCTTGCACGTTCAAACCAAACTCAAGATTGTTGGTGTGCTGCAGCTGTGCTAATTGCGGAGAAAAAACATAAACTGCCAATTTCTCGAGTGGCACCTGCTCATAAAACAAAGAAGGGTAAAAGGAAAAAACGATGACGATAAACAGGCGAAAAAGAAAGAATTAGACAGAGTCAATTTACTTGGTGTCAAAACTCTGAACTCGTTACATGTAGATAAAATGTCACACTGTGCAAAGCGACTATTGAAATCTGCTAATTCACTGGCTTGTCATGTTGCTGAAATAATATTGTGGCGAGCAGGACGAGGCCGAGGGACAGGGACATGAGAGCGGCACGAGGCCAGTGCCATGAGTGATAATGATCGACACCTGGGAGACGCACCGGTCTCACATCTCTCAGGGAGGAGCAGATGCATAAAGGAGGAGCGACGACAGTGGAGAGAGGAACAGGCCTGATTTTATGTTGTGATTTTATGTTCTGTTTTGTGTGTTTTCCATGAGGGGCTGCTGGCTTATATTTTAATTTTGTATTTGTTGAATGTTCGCCGGTTCCCGCCTTCTTTTTCCCATAACAACTGAACCCCGTTACAAATGTACAAGCAAACCTTATCTAGCATTAGGCCTACATGCTAAAATAAATGAATTATATTACATAAGATACGTTATCGTTATATTATCTTACTATGTATTTATAACATAGACTGTCATGCTGCTCACAGCTCAATGCTCATCACAGCAATATTTTATATGATGAGAATCTAAATACTTAAAAAACTTCTCACGAATCAGTAATCTCGATATCTGTAATAGTAAAAACGTATAATAGCTGTAGTAAAACGTATTTAAGAGAGTTTTACATGTAATATGTAGCTATTTCATATGCAAGCATGTCAGCCAATCACAGCAGTGGGCGGTTACATTGAATCCCACAGCAGACACGCCCCTTCTAACAGAGCGTTCTAAGCAGAGGCTAAAATCAGGCTAGGAAAAATGCCTTTTATTTCTAAATTATGACTATTTTTGATCTAAAAAACATACTAACATTATAAGGGCAGCCCAGGCAACATTATAAAATAAAAAAAATAAAAAAAACATGTCAGGGGACCTTTAACCCATTTCTTTGAGGTGAAAATACTAGTGTGCCTAAGACTTCTGCACAGTACTGTATATATATATGAATTTGTGTTCCAAAGATGAACGAAAGTCTTAAAGGGTTGAAACAATTGGGTGAGTAAAAAGTAAAGAAGTTCTTCTAATCCTTTTAAAAGTTAAAGTGCCTTTCAAGTGTTAATTTTATTTCACACAGTGATTATCATTTATTTTTTTATCTCCTTAACTAAATTGCTAAATGAGTAACAATAATAAAGAAAAAAATAATCAGAAAAGCATCCATTTACAATACTTTTTGTTTTGAATTCACCATTAAAATGTAAGCACCCTTTTCCCCTTTTCATAAGGATAAATTAGAAATCTTACTTGATGATGATTTATAGACTGCAGGTAATCTCTGACCTGTTGTGTGAACAAGTTGTGCGGTTCTGCAATAAGAAAGAATGTACACGTGAATATATCAGTCTTGAAGGGCACCTATTCCCTAAGGGGAATAAAGAGTTTCGTTTCCTTACTGTCTGTTAATCACATTGAACAAACACGCCCAATAAAAATTACATAACGTTTCCTGTAAATGAAGGTTGTAAGTCAGTCTCTTTGTTATTTGTTGAAAATGTTCTACGTCACCATTATAATGATCAGTGTTTTATTTAGTTGGGCGTGTGTTTGTGTTTTAACTATTTTAAGGGGCCGAGCCCCGAAAGGGCTGAGGCACTATTGTATCTGTTGGTTTTATGAGGGACCAAGCCCCGAAGGGGATAGCCCCTGTTGTATCTGTTAGTTTTCTTATTTTTATTCCAGAAATGGAAGTCTATGGCAACCCTATGAACCGTACATAGGAAAATGATGAAATTTGGCACACTTGTAGTGATGGTAATGAAAAGTAATTGTAGCAATTTTTGAGTCTCTAGGACCAACTCTATAGTGCCACCCCAGTTCAAAAATTCAACATTAAAATGGTTAAAAACTTTTAAGCCTTTGATCTAGAGACATGAAACTAAGGCTGCATTTACACTGGAGGTCTTGATGCCCAAATCCGATTTTCTGACTATATCCGATTTTTTTTGACGACCTGCTTACATCATCTTTTAAAAGTGACCCATATCCGATATTTGCATTTACACTATACACTGCTGAAACTACCAAATGCAGACGTTCTGACCCGGGAAATTAAGCAAAACAGCACAAACTTCAATGGATGCAGATGCGAATAAAATTATCCAGTGTTTTTCTTTTCACAATATTTTGAAAAGTCATTAAAACATTGGTCTCGTACGCCGGAGAAAAAAAGGCTCTAGCCACGAGCACTTAAAACGATGCCTCATTTATCTCGTGAAATGTCTTCAAATACAGATTTATTTCTGTAACAACCCTGCATTTTTGCCTGCACTCATCGCCCAAAACACTCAAACGACATGAAACCTCCGCATTGCTCCACTGTGTGTATCCTTTCTTCCATTGCGCCTATAATCGCTCACTTTTTAATGACGTACAACTCGCATTACTGGGGAATATCCGATTTGTCTGCTTACATGGCACACGTGAATGCACGTATCCGATTCATATATGATTTATTACCACATATGAGTGAGGCCTGAATCTGATCTGAGAAAATCGGAATCCATGCGTTTTTTCCTGCCTATGACAGGAAAAAATCGGATTTGAGTCACTTGAACCATGCAGTGTAAACGAGGCCTTGGTACATCTGATTCCAGTCATCATGATACATGTTGAGTGTAAGACTCCGCCCATTACTGTAGTGGCCATTTTGAAAAGTACAGTACTCAGTTTTTTCGCTACTCCTCCTTCAAATTTTTTCCAATTTTGTCCAAACATGTGCTCAAATGATCTTCGGACTGAGCTGCATAGAAATGACTGAACAGAATTTTTTTTATACTCGAAAAAAAAGTTTTGATGTCGCAAAGTTAACGAGGTTCATCCAAGATTGGCTAAGAAAATTCTAAATAGCCTAAACCAATTTGTCGAATAAATAACTCTTTCTGTAAAACATTAAACAAGTTCAGGTGGTTAAAACACTGTTTGCAAATCTCATGCACTCTTTTTTTTTCAAAACTCTAAACACATTCTCACTCACTAAAACACATTTCACACAGTGAAGCAATTATGTTTCAAAATGCTAAACACAGGTAGGCGAAAGTTAAACATAACTACAACACAGTTGTCACCGTTTACACACAACGACTCAAAATTGTTCACACTTATTTCTAATGATGTGACCAAACCAACTGTACATAATACAAGTCAGTTCAGAGTCCCAATTTCAGGGCCTGAAGTTAATTTTTTCGGCCACCGGCCACTGTGGCAGGTGGATTTAAAAATTCACCTGCCAAAGAGACTTTTTACTAGCCATTTTTTTTTTTTGCCTCATAAACGTAAAAAAAAAAAAAAAAAAAAAAAAAAACCCAGGAATTTCACAATATTGTTCTTTAACTTGTAAGAATACACATTTAAGTGCTGTCAAGTAATAATAACTCTAATAACATACATTTAAAAAAAAAAATCTTTTTATTCCTTGATTTTGACAGACACACACACACACACGACATATATAGTATAGGCTATAATATATACTCAACAGATAGACATACCGCAGCTCGTAAACAAATCACACGCGGCTGTGTTGATGGCGGATTTAGTCACGTAGGTCTTACTCTTAACAGCTTTTAGTTACAGCGTTCAGGAACGGTTAAACATGAACTAAATTGATACTGTTATTACTGATAAAACTACCGGGTACCGGACATTTTCTCACCGGTTCCCAACTCCCAACATGCACACGCACACACATCTGTGCAACTGTCATTGTACTTTAACCTACAACAGCGACGCGTTACATTCCCAGACAGCAAACTGACATTGAATCAACGTGGAAACGACGTCTCTCATGACATTGAAACAACGTTGATTTGCTCATCGAATTAACGTTGAACCAACGTCAGACGCGGAATTCTTCAAAGCTAAATGAAATCGAAAATTGGTTTGCTTTCATAACGTTGAAACAACGCGTTGATTTCAAGTTGATTTTCCGTTAGTTTTGAAAGAATGACGCATCTGACGTTGGTTCAACGTTAATTCGATGAGCAAAACAATGTCAGATCAACGTTGTTTCGATGTCATATTTCCACGTTGATTCAATGTCAGTTTGCTATCTGGGTTATCTCATCCCATCTCATCAACAGTTTAATACTCGCACACGTAGTCAGAAAAAGAGCCTCATCTTCTTTCTGATCGCATGAATGTTACGAAACAACAGTCGCTGTCATAAATCAGCCGCTCACGAACCTTGCCATTTCCGCCGATTGTTCACTTTGTATTAAAATGTCTTCTTTACTTTTCTTTTTCTCATCATCTTTTTGTTGGCTGTTTTGTTTCAGCTGGCCTCTTTACCCCAGTAATGTGCCGCCACATTTTAGCTAAAGTCAAACGCAATAGCGGACTTTGTTGAAATGTAAAAATCCTATGAATCACTCACAATTCTCATTGGCTACCTGCCAATGTGGCAGGTAGATTGACAGTGTTACCCGCCAATAGCAAAATTCACCCGCATTTGGCAGGTGGTCGGGTGTTAATTTCAGGCCCTGCCCAATTTACTCAAAATGTTGCACTTCATACCAAGAATGGATGGAAACAATATGAGAGAGAGAGAGAAGGAAGAGTATGTGTTTAAGAGGTGGTGAACAAGGAGGAAGAGGATGAGGAAGAGCAAAGTGTGGAGAATGTTGTCATTGCTGACTCTGCTTTATCGTTTTTTCCCTTTCCATCAGAGATGACATAGTCTGAGATGTGGAAAAACTCCTCCGGCCGGACCAACATGAAGACATGATGCTGAAGCAGAATCAGTCTCTCTCACTGATCGTGATTCTGCAGTCGCACAACTCTTCTGAGTGTACTTTACTGTAACATGCTTTTCATTGAGAGGTTTTTACTGTAACCTTTTTGGCTGTTGTAGTCGGGTCGCTGTATTTTCACAGTATGCAAGTGGTGAATACTGTATACAGACATTTGATAGGCCTACAATTCAGTATTCAGTACAATACTAAACTTACAGTGGATACAGTACACAATTTATTCACCAATTCATTCATCTGTAGTGTTTATAATTTTTAACTCGTGTGTGTATGATCTGAGAGCATTGTGATTTTGAGCACAGGTAAAATGGTTTTGAGGCAATAGTTTGATTTTGCCAGAAGAGTCAGAGGTTCTTTGAATGTGGTGTGAAAGTGTGGTTTTGTGTTTAAGGTTTTGAGAAAGTGAGTGATGGTTTCAAGAAATGTGTTTTAGCAATTCAGAAAAACTGTATACATGTAAGAGCTTTTTATAGTAAATACAATATGCTCTGCATTTTATTCAAAATTCTTAATTTGACCTGTTTTCAATTTGTAATGTTCAATATAATCAAGATAAAATAAACAAGAAAAAGTTTGTCGAGACAAACTTTAAGTTGGCTTGTGAAAGTATGGACCAGAAAGTTTGAAGTTTAAAGTAGTTTAAAGTTTTGAATAGTTTAGTTTCAAAGTTAAGAAAGCCAACTTTTTGAAGCCAATTGGAACCATTGAAGGCTTGGCCCCGTAAGGCTGCTTGCAGCTTTAATTGTATTTTAGTTTCCTATACTAATATATATATATATATATATATATATATATATATATATATATATATATATATATATATATATACGTATATATATATATATATATATATATATATATATATTAGGGCTGTCAATTGATTAAAATATTTAATTGCGATTAATTGCATGATTGCCATAGTTGACTCATCATTAATAAAAACTTAATCTCACATTTTTATCTGTTCTAAATGTATCTTAAATTAATACTTTTCAAGTTAATAACTAATAATCGTTGCGACAGAAGTGAATCAATCAAAATTACCTATAGGTGGAAGTTTATCAAGCGACAAGAATAGTTTTTGTGCACAATATATATATATATATATATATATATATATATATATATATATATATATTGTGCACAAAAACTATACTATATATATATATATATATATATGAATTTGTATATATATATATATACACTATATATATATATATATATATACTATATACTATATATATATATATATATACAAATTCATATATATATATATATATATACAGTATATAGATATATAGTATAGTTTTATGAATAGTTATAGTTATATGAATATATATGAATTTGTATATATATATATATATATATATATATATATATATATATATATATATATACTATATATATATATATATATATATATATATATATATATATATATATATATATATGAATTTGTGTTCCAAAGATGAACGAAAGTCTTAAAGGGTTGGAACAATTGAGTGAGTAAAAAGTAAAGAAGTTCTTCTAATCCTTTAAAAGGTGAAGAGCCTTTCAAGTGTTCAACACAAATGAGACTGAATAATATTTCACACAGAGTTTATTATTTATTTTTATCTCCTTAATTAATTTGCAAAATGAGTATAACATATAGTAATAAATAATATAATCATCAGAAAAAACAACTATATACAATACTTTTTGTTTTGAATTCACCATTAAAATGTAAGCACCCTTTTCCCCTTTTCATAAGGATAAATTTGAAAACTTACTTGATGATGATTTATAGACTGCAGGTAATCTCTGACCTGTTGTGTGAACAAGATGTGCAGCTCTGTGATAAGAAAGAATGTACACGTGAATATATCAGTCTAAAGGGGAATAAAGAGTTTCATTTCTTTACTGTCTGTTAATCACATTGAACAAACACGCCCAAACACGCCCAATGAAAATGAAATAACATTTCCTGTAAATGAAGGCTGTTCTTGTAAGTCAGCCTCTTGGTTATTTGTTGAAAATGTTTTAAGTCAACATTATAATGATCAGTGTTTTATTTAGTTGGGCGTGTGTGTGTTTAAACTATTATTGTATTTTAATTTCTTATACTAATATATATATATATATATATATATATATATATATATATATATATATATATATATATTCATAGCTACTCTTTCTGTTAATGTTATTGACATTAAAACAGTTTTTGGCTAAGATAAATTGTGATTGAGGTTTACCTGAGCTTATACTGTCTTTCTTACCGTATTTACGTATTTTTAATTATGTTATTATGGAAATTGATATATGAAATTCTTCCCATCTCATACATGAAAAAAGACATGACGTGTTGGTGATACATTATAAGCTATTAAAATAGTCTTACATAGGCTATATGAAATAAAATGACACAACCCTGTCTCTTTTTGTTAAATTTCAGTTTTATTGAACAATAATAGCCATTATTAAAGTATAAGTATCCTAAAAGGTATAAGAAGATATAAGTCAAGAAATAAAGCAAGTTAAAAGATTCAGTCAAACATAAGTCAACAGTAAGTAAGTAAGTAAAGTTTATTTATAGAGCACTTTTCACAGATAAAAAATCACAAAGTGCTTTACAAAGTGCAGCCACAAAATAAAACAGTATATTATCAGTACAATTTCAACATTTCAAACATTTAAAAAGCCCAAAATAAAACCCAGTTAACTAAATGCTTGTCTAAATAAAAGTGTCTTAAGATGCCTTTTAAAATAATTGATCGAGTCGGTCACACGGATGGGCAAAGGCAAGGCGTTCCACAGACTGGGGGCTACAACCTGAAAGGACAGGTCTCCCCGGGTTTTATAGCGAGTCTTTGGGACCATTAACAGACTCTTGCCTGAGGAACGAAGTGCACGGCCTGGGGAGTATGTGCATAACATATCAGCAATGTATTGAGGGGCCTGACCGTGTAAAGCTCTAAAAGTTAAGACTAATATTTTAAAATCAATACGTAATTTGATGGGGAGCCAGTGTAAGGAGGACAAAATGGGTGTAATGTGTGTCCTCCTGCCAGATCTTGTTAGGAGCCTTGCCGCAGCATTTTGAACCATTTGAAGGCGATTTAAAGTAGATTTGTTACAAAAAGTAAAAAGAGAGTTACAGTAATCTAACCGTGAAGAAATAAAAGCATGGATAACCAATTCGAGGTCAGAGTCTGATAAAATTGCCCTCAGTTTCGCAATATTTCTTAGGTGATAAAAACAGTTTCTGACCAAAAGTCTAGAATGGCAATCCAAAGACATTGACTGGTCAAACCAGACACCCAGGTTTCTGATGCTCGACTGGACAGAGGAGCTCAGAGAACCAAGGTTTTGAAGAATGGATGGTATTTTATTGTTTGGGGCAACAATTAGGGTTTCAGTCTTTTCTGAATTTAATTGAAGACAGTTTCTAGCCTGCCACGATTTAACTGTAGAAAAACATTCCAATAAATCTGTAAGTTTGTGGAACTCGGAGTCATTGAACGAGCAATACAACTGTATGTCATCCGCATAAAAATGGTATGACACATTGTTAAAATGGCTTAAAATTTTTCCTAAAGGGGTAATGTACAGTATAAACAAAAGCGGCCCTAGGACAGACCCCTGTGGAACTCCATACAAGAATGGAGTGGTTTCAGACTGTATATTATTTACATATACAGAAAAAGTTCTGCCACTCAAGTAAGAGGAAAACCACTTTAACACAGACCCAGCGATACCAAACTCTTTTTCTAATCTATTCAACAGCATTTTGTGGTCCACTGTATCAAACGCTGATGATAAATCCAATAGAACCAATATGGAGTACTTTCCAGAATCAGCAGCCATGTGTACATCACTAGACACTTTGAGGAGAGCAGTCTCAGTAGAGTGCATCTTTCTGAAACCAGATTGATATTTCTCCAAAAGTTCATTGTTACTTAGAAAAGCTGTCAGCTGCTCAGCTACTACCTTCTCCATGACTTTTGAGATAAAAGGCAATTTTGATATTGGCCTATAGTTACAAGGCTCCGCAGGGTCCAAATTGGGCTTTTTTAAAATGGGACTTATCACTGCCTGTTTATACAAGTTTGGAACGGTCCCAGTGGAAAGTAAAGTATTAATAATTTTTACGACAATAGGAGCAACAAGATCAATCATTTTAAAAAACAAGGAAGTTGGTAATATATCCAATGGGCATGATGATGGCTTCATCTTTTTAAGTAAGACCATAACATCATCTAATGAGACAGCAGAAAAGCTAGTCCAGGAGCAATTTGGGGTAGTTACAACAATGGTACTCTCATCAGATGGTTTTACACATGCTCTAATCTCATTCACCTTATTTACAAAGTATTTTAAAAATTTGTTGCAGTCATCAGTGGTGAAAACAGGCACCAATGGAGTTGAGGGTGAAACAATATTCTGAATAATATCAAAGACAACTTTAGGGTTTCTCTTATTCTGACTGACAAGATTAGAAAAAAACCTAGATCTAGCTTGCTTTATCATTTCGTTAAGTGATACAATCAGCTCCTTTAAATGCAGTCTGTACACTTCCATTTTAGTGGATTTCCACAGGCACTCTACTTTGCGACAAGTTCTCCTGGTGGAAGCAATCTCCCCATTTAACCAGGGACAAGTATTATTAGGGGAAGTCAATTTATGCTTTACAGGGGCCACTATGTCCAGGACAGACTGGCAATGGTCATTAAAATGATTAACAAGGGATTCCGTATCATTAAGATCCTCGATGAATTTGGGCTGAAACAATTCTAAAAAGTGATCAACCACATTTTGATTTATAAAACGCCTTTTGGACACCACTTTATGAGCATTACTGACCACATTACAAGATATATTAAAATATACACAGCAATGGTCAGTCACATGAACATCCACAACATTCAGGCAGTTTATGTCTAACCCAAAGGAGAAAACAAGATCTAATGTGTGTCCTTTTTTGTGTGTAGGACCAGTAACATGTTGCTTTAAATTAAAAGAATCTGTGAGTGTAAAAAACTCAGACGCTACATTACAGGAGGGATCATCAATGTGGAAATTAAAATCACCAAGAATTAGAACTTTGTCTAATTTAATAAAAGTAGATAAAAAATCCGAAAACTCATCTAAAAACTCTCGTGTAGGGCCAGGAGGTCGGTAAATTAAAATACAGTAAAAGAAGTCAGTATTTCCAACCTTTGTCATTTGAAGTTCAAATGAGTTGAAAGGCTCCGGCTTCGTAAGTCTACAATAAAAGCAATTTCTGTGGATGAGCGCGAGACCGCCACCTCGCCGCGCAACCCGTGGAGTTCCAAACACGGAGCAGTCCGGAGGGCACAGCTCATTTAGATGAGAGTATTCCTGGTCCCGTTGCCACGTCTCAGTAAGGGCCATGAAATCGAGATTTCTGTTTGTGAACAGGTCTCCCAGATAAAGAGACTTATTTGATATGGAGCGGGCATTCAGTAAAGCAAACCGTATTTGCCGTGCGCACTGGACTGGAGGTGCGCACTGACCAGCGGGGGATCTCCGCATAGCCAAAGAGCTATCCAACTTTATGGCTCGCAGAACATGTTCCAGCGGAGTGGGAATCCGGGTCTGCCTGGTTGAAAAGATCCGATCGGAATGCCAAAGGGGTGAAGAAGCAGGAGCCGGCGGCGCACAGCACGACTCCCATGTCCAGTCACTGACTGGAACCCATCGAAGGAACCGCTCGGTTCCAACAGATCTGGACCAATCGGACCATAATATTTGTCCTCGCTGCTTTCTCTGCCTGAACTGTACACCAGCCCTCGATCTCCTCTTCCTTCTCTTACCGCGGCGCTTCACCAGCATCAGGTACTCCGGTGATGACGTGGCGCATTCAAAGAGTGGAGGGAAATACTCCTTGTACCTGTCCCAGGTAACACACACATCTTTCATTTGCTCCTTGATGCTAAATAGCGTGTGTCGATCATATCGAATGACAGCAGAGGCACCGCATTTAGTTGACAGGCATAATAGGGCATAATAAAACACTAAGCATACTGGTATCCGAGTCAGCAGAGTGGCAGACGCAAAGCCGAACACAGGCGCCATCATGCCAACGTTGACAACAGGTAGCCTGGCATGCCAGACCTACATCAAGATGATCACTTTGCTGCAAAATAATTTTTGCTGCCTGTTACGACCCCTCCAAACTAATCTAGGGGCTAGAGGAGTAACATTAAAGAAAACCTTGTAAAACTGTGGAAATGGTAGTGTGTGTCAAGAAACAATAAGCGAAACCAAACTCCCAATGAAAATAATGATATTTATTACTGTATACAAAATATAAGGAATACCAAATGAATGATAAAGTAAATTGGGAACAGTAAGGAAGCTAACAGCCTCCAACAATATAAACAAATTATATAGAGAGAAAACAAAAATAAGTCATAAATAAAATAAAAGAAAGTAAGCAACAATTTACCCTTAAGGAAAAAGGGACTAAAGTGACGCCAAAATAAAGAAAGAAACAAAAGAAAACTATTCTAATTAAGTTCAACCCTCTTACCTGGCTAAAGAAAAGGAAAGAAAAAGAATTGTTTCTTCAGCGCCGAGCGCCGTGTTCTTCCCTGCTCTAGCTCACAAAACAAAACATACAAGGGTGGCATTCACCTCTTACCTGGTGTTTCTATACAAAGGTTATTCTAGATGTTTGCACAATGGAAGTCGTACGACATCTTTCCTAGCCCCCATTTCTTGGAGCAAAGGATAACAAAAAGAGCACAAGCTCTACACAAGTCGAAACAAACGTCATCCAAAGTAATCAAACAAAGTAACAAAAACAAACTGAAGAAACACAACTAGCATAAGCAAATT